ATACGTCCACAAATTTAGCTTTGCCTATTTTTGGAATCATGATACATTCTTGCAACAAGTGTACTACTGCGTACAAACTCTAAATAGTCGTAACTTGTACCAAATTTTGTGAGTCAAAGATGCTTGCTACTTGTACATTGGTAAAATGCTACCAAGGACTTCCAAGGACTATCAATGAAGGTACCATGATTTACAATTTATAATTGTGAAAACAAGTGATGCCACTGACGCGTATGTTTGATACACACCATTAGCAAGAGGCAGAGGAGTAGAAGAGCTACCAATAGGAGTAGGAGATAGCAGGCAGCTTGGAGAATTTTTGAGTAGCAACAAGAGTAACATCAGTCTGTATTGTTCTACTCTGGGTTGTGGTGGCGCTTGCGGTTGTGCGCTTCGGCACGCTGACGTTTCGCAAGGAATGACGAGGCACAGCGTACTGCATAAGGCGCAGTTCGCATGTTGTTTCATTGAGCGTGAATTAATATATTTTACTTGAAGTCTGATTGTGTACTGACTTACGAAATCAACTATCGGATACTACGGTGGATGGAAGAAATCCTGCACCAGTTGATAGATGGTTTATCCCATTATTTATAGGGTTTCAACCATCCACATCATCCAAGGTGATGCAGGATTTCTATGGATTTCTTCCATCCACAGTATCACGGTTGTCTCTGTTTGAAGTCACTCGTTTGTCGCCGAGGATCTCCAAGATCGCCTGATTGGTGTCCATCAGGAGCATTGGAATAAGGGACAACCAGTTGGGGCCGGGCAGTCTGGACATGTCTGAGCTTGCACCCAGCTTCAATTTTTGGATGAAGGAGTATATCTGGAGTATTTTGCTAAAAAAAAACCATGTCGAACATCTCAAAAAGATATGTTCAAATCATGATTTATCTCTTACTGCTACTTTACATGAAACATCATGAAGTAATCATGAAGCATTGTCAGTCTTGTCAGTGAATTCATCCAGATGACAGAGGCTAGACATGGCGTCACGACCATGTCCTGCTGCAAGTGACGCATATTGTGCATCACCTTGCTGCAGGAACATGTGGAGAAGTTGGGTCGTGAACTCCATACGCATGTGGCCAAGGTCTCTGAAATGCAGGCGGGGCCAAGGAGTCTGAGGATTGAAAAAGGAGCGCATAGCAGCCCAGCGCAGATGATGTCCCCAACTCTTGGGAACTTGGAACCACATCAGATGTTTGGATGGATGTTGGGAATGTTGGAACATGTTGAAATACACATTTCAGCTAAGTGCAGTGCACTTTGTATGAGGGGCCCAGTCAGCCTGGTGTGTTCAGCTGCATCAAAAGAATTGGACAGTTCTGCATAGTTCTGCCACGGGTCACTTCTGAGTTGATGCATTTCTCTAGCTGCTCTAGCTGTATTGACCCGAGGTTGACAGTTTCAGGTCTGCTATGGAGGGAAACTGGCTTGAGGTCTATCCGCTTCCTGAAAATTCTTGACAGGAGCGAGTGGACTTCATTGAGAGTTTTCTCGGTGACAACGCGCAAAAGCACAGTGAGGCAAGGCTCAGAGCCTTCTCTTTGACGGCATGAACCTGTCAGAGATTGCGAGAGTGTAGACTCTGTAGACTCTGTAGACTCTGTAGACTCTGTCAATGCATGAGTGAATGAGATATTTGATGATATTTGGCTCAAGGAGTGAAAAGTGCTCCAGACTCTAGGTTTCCGCCCCTAGGCTTAGCATCGAAAGTGTGCTGAGTGGATCATGGCCCTCTACGTCGACCCTGCTGTAAAAGCACAGCAAGCAACGCGCCATGATGTTTGTGTCATCGGGCGCCATGAAAAGCATGGCTACCTCCTCTTGCTGAACTGCCGAGCTGAGGGCAAAGAATTCAGGCTTCCTTCAAGAAAGTTTGAGCACCCTGAGATTGGTGGTGATGAGTACTACAAGGAGGCACGAGTTCAGGCCAGTCGAGAGATGAGGAAAAGGACAGGGCTGAGTTTGGCGCCTGGTCGTTTCAATCGCATCTATTTCCCAGCTCAAGTTCAGAAAAGGCTGCGCAACAGAGTTTTTTTCGAAGTCTCATTGTATGATCATGACTCACTGAGCCTCGGCGAGACGGCAATGACGGGAGAACAGGACTTTTGGATCCAGCTGGAGGAAATTGATGGATTCACCTTCCATCAGGATCTTCGCCATGCAGCGAATGCCTTACGAGGCACCAGCAGAACCATGGCACATGCCTTGCTGGCAACAGAGGCCATCTACCGTGAGACCTGCTTCGGCGGCATCACGAAGATGGCAGAGAAAGTGTGGGAGATCTGCGGATGGCCTTAGTGGCCTTAGTTGCAAGTGAAGTTCTCCTGGATCGAAGGATCTACTTTACTACTTGGCTTCCGGTGAGAACTGAGAGGCATGGAAGCTTTGGTAGGATTGATTGAAATGCAATATATATTTGAGGATAGATGCTAGCCTTTGAACCGCTTGATTCCCGCAATAGCGGCACGGGCAAAGTCCCTGACTGACATCTTGCCGAACTTTGTCACGGTGAAAAAACACATGACACTTGCATCCATGATGTTGTGTGTGTGGGTTTTTAAGTTGACCATGGCCTCATAAATCCAAGATCGTGATCTAATGAAGCAGTTGAACTCCGGTTCAATTTTAAATGCGACATGCCAAAAGTTGTGAAGCACAGTGAGGCAAGGCTCAGAGCCTTCTCTTTGACGGCATGAACCTGTCAGAGATTGCGAGAGTGTAGACTCTGTAGACTCTGTAGACTCTGTAGACTCTGTCAATGCATGAGTGAATGAGATATTTGATGATATTTGGCTCAAGGAGTGAAAAGTGCTCCAGACTCTAGGTTTCCGCCCCTAGGCTTAGCATCGAAAGTGTGCTGAGTGGATCATGGCCCTCTACGTCGACCCTGCTGTAAAAGCACAGCAAGCAACGCGCCATGATGTTTGTGTCATCGGGCGCCATGAAAAGCATGGCTACCTCCTCTTGCTTAACTGCCGAGCTGAGGGCAAAGAATTCAGGCTTCCTTCAAGAAAGTTTGAGCACCCTGAGATTGGTGGTGATGAGTACTACAAGGAGGCACGAGTTCAGGCCAGTCGAGAGATGAGGAAAAGGACAGGGCTGAGTTTGGCGCCTGGTCGTTTCAATCGCATCTATTTCCCAGCTCAAGTTCAGAAAAGGCTGCGCAACAGAGTTTTTTTCGAAGTCTCATTGTATGATCATGACTCACTGAGCCTCGGCGAGACGGCAATGACGGGAGAACAGGACTTTTGGATCCAGCTGGAGGAAATTGATGGATTCACCTTCCATCAGGATCTTCGCCATGCAGCGAATGCCTTACGAGGCACCAGCAGAACCATGGCACATGCCTTGCTGGCAACAGAGGCCATCTACCGTGAGACCTGCTTCGGCGGCATCACGAAGATGGCAGAGAAAGTGTGGGAGATCTGCGGATGGCCTTAGTGGCCTTAGTTGCAAGTGAAGTTCTCCTGGATCGAAGGATCTACTTTACTACTTGGCTTCCGGTGAGAACTGAGAGGCATGGAAGCTTTGGTAGGATTGATTGAAATACAATATATATTTGAGGATAGATGCTAGCCTTTGAACCGCTTGATTCCCGCAATAGCGGCAGGGGCAAAGACCCTGACTGACATCTTGCCGAACTTTGTCACGGTGAAAAAACACATGACACTTGCATCCATGATGTTGTGTGTGTGGGTTTTTAAGCTGCCCATGGCCTCATAAATCCAAGATCGTGACCTAATGAAGCAGTTGAACCGTGGTTCACTTTTGGATGCGACACGCCAAAAGTTGTGAAGCTTGGACAGTCACCTCTGCATCAGGAACTCAAGAAGACGCAGGATCGACTATCTGAGTGAAAGCCTTACTTGGGATTGAGCAGAGTTCCTGATTTTGAGCCGGGGATGTTGGATCTGGGGTTTACTTGTACTGACGTGGATTATCATCCATCTATTCATTGATTCCCTGGCTAAAATATTGTTCAAAAAATATTTACCGATGGGAAAAGGAGGAGGACAACGCATTGCGCATTGGCTCAAGCACCCAATCGAGTCACTGACCTTCCGCAAGCTCGGCAATTCCCAGGGTGCAAGCCATCATTGCACTTCCCGTCCTTTGTGGCCCTTGCCACCAAAGACACAAACATGTTCAAAACCCAAAGAAACCCAAAGATATTTGCCGTCAATGTGCTTCCACTTTGGGAGATGTCATATAAAAAATCGAAGATGATTCCCCAAAGGCAGTGTGTGACTTGTGTGAAAAAAAGGCGCATTCCACTGGTTGGATTTGGACCGAGCTGGTGCTCTGAAAGCGTGTCACAGTGGGAGTTGAACATAGTTGAACTGTTGAACGTGAATTGCTTCCCCGCCAATACAGCAACCCCGACAAGAAAGCCTGCTTCAATCTGCAGTGGGATGACGTCTCGGCCAAGGCATGCGACGGCAGAGCGGGTTGACTATTTGGAGAAGGTGCCTAAGGGGGGCTTCTCGAGTTCAGTGAGTTCAGTTCCTTGAGATTTTGGATATATTTGGTATATTATGTGGTCATGGTGTTCTTTTTTCCGGGTCTTTTCAGGTTTTTGAACGTCCCCGTTGTGGAGTTGTAGATCTTTCATGATAGGTATAAAATATGTCCACAATGTCCACTAATATACAATCATTCTAGGTTTCTGGATGTTTCTGGCATCTTGATTGTTAATAGTCCGGAACTTGACGCTTGCGCGCTCGCCCTGGAGGCCCTTGGCGATTCTTCTGACAGGCACACTCGCGAGCTGGAAGCCTTGAGAGTGGTCCGGTCGCCTGAAACAGTCAGAGTCATGTGCGTTAAAATTCAATTTTTGTTGTTTTTGTTATCCATGATTCTTCCAGTGAAATTGTCCCCAGATTCTCGGAGATCTGAGGCTCATCAGAAGATGGTGGCGGAACACAAGGGCCTCTCAGCAAAGCAGTGTTGAGCACCAGCTATAGAAATCAACATAAACCCACTGGGTGCCTCGAAAAACGGCGTTTGTTCGCGCACAATCTGCAGGATTCGGATGTCCACAGGTGAAGAAAAGGTTTGTGACGGTGAGTCAGTGAGAGCCTGGTGATATGATTTTCAGATCCTGAAATTTTTAGACTCCAAAACAGCTGGTTTTGGGTTTGCCAAGCATCACCTCATATCACCTCATTGAGGCCAGGAGCAGGGCCATGGACAAGTTTCTGATCGGGTCACCCAACTCCAAAGGCGCCAGTGCAGATCAGTGCAGCTACCGACATGTTTGGGCCGTTTAGGTATGCTCCTCCTAGTTTTTCTATGTTTTTCTCCTTTCATATACTTTATATAATCTTTATATAATCATTATAATCTTTATGTTTAGCATATACAGTAAAACCTTGAGAACGGATCATCCGCAATAGATATTACTTGATATCTCTTGAGAACGGATCATCTCGGCAATGGTGTTTTCTGTTCGCGACGTCTTGGGGATCTACCAGCAAAGCCTTGATACAGTCACTATGAAAAGGTTGGTCAGTGGTAACTCAGCGCTCCACTGATTGCTACACGAGTTACTTGCCTTGCTGGACAGGGAGAAGGAAGAGCTTCGTGCTCATCACATGTCGAAACTGCCTAAGCATGGCTGAAACAGCTTGCTCATCAGTTGCTGGGGCTTGTCCCAATTCTTCTTGGGGAGCTATTCACTATTGATACCAACAGTGAATGCAGCCAAACTGACCTTGTGGATAGCGACTTGGGTGTGAGTAGAGGGCTGCAGACAGATGTGCCGCTAAATCCAACCCAAGGAATGTATAAACTTAAACCCAAACTCTGGCCCCAAACAGACCTCTTCTTTGGAACAGCAGTACCCAGCCTCGAAACAAGGCTAACAGAACGTATGGACTACTTGGAGACTCTTCTTGGAGAAAGTGCAGAGAAGCATGCCCAGGCAGGGCCAAGAATCCAACAGCAGCACTATCCTGGTTCCTGCAATGACTAGCGTGAGCAACTTTTATTGATGGACTTGGGGCCTGCACTATTTGATTATAAGGAGATTTCGTCCTAATCAGGATCCATTTCATTACATTCTTCAGGTTTCAGAACTCAGGGTCAAGGGGATGAATCAGGAATCCTGATTAGGACGAAATCTCCTTTTATGTGTTCATCAAAATTTGGAATGCAACAAGTTGTGCCATTCCCAGAAGGCCTGGGGGACGGGCACGGGACCATGACCGGGACCCGGGCACGGGACCATGACCCGGGACGCCTGGAGGAGCTTGAGACGTTCAAGGTGCGGCGGAGCTGACTGGAGCCACAGTGTACCAATCTTTGGGATTCTTTGGGGTTTTTGTGGGCTAATGATGGCGAATGATTAGCATCATCCAAGGGACTGTTTTGTGGATCCTTCTTCTCAATTTTCAATTATTTTCAACAAACATCTTGTTTGGTCAACCTTCTAAAGATAGATCACTGGTGATTAGTTCGCGCCAAACCAGCGAGCTCCAGCTGCCGAATGAACTGAACTGACTCCCTCTGAATATGAACATCCGGCAGCCTGAGAATACTACTGCATAGATTTTTATAGACAAAGAATTGTAATGCCCAAGCCTCAGAATTAAATGGCAACCGACCCAGTTTTTTGACACACCTGGTCCAAGGATGTGTTCCTCAGTCGTGCTGGGTTTATGGTCATCATAGCTAAGACTTCTATGCTAACTCTTGGATGAGGGAAGCAAGATGGAAGTATGACAAGATGTGACAAGTGTCATCGATCTGGAAGCTGCAAGGACAAACATGCAAAGCTGGATGCTGGGGCCAATAAGTTATGCAGTCACCATGCTGGACTGGAGGAGTTGGCTGGACAGTGAATATCGAGACTTGTGGCGATACCTTCAAAAGCTTGTGGTCTTGTAGCAGTTGGCAGTCACATATCACCTCTACTCCCCAAAGCCAAACCTTGAGCAGCATGAGCAAGGTGCAGACTTTTTGATAGTCCTTTACCAACGTATTACGAAGCATTTGTGGCGGGGCAAGTCTCGTGCCTCTAAATTTTGTACCGCAGTACACATGGCTAAGTGCTTTAGCCATCTTTAGCCAGCATGTATCCAAGATGTCTTTGCCAAAGAACATGCAAACACACAGGAGCGGATGGAGTATCTGGAAGCGAAGATTGGCGACTCCTTTGACAAGCATGCCAAGGCAAGGCGATTGTTATATCATTCACCAGGTGACAGACACATGGGGCCCTGAAACCTGCAGGAACTCAGCAATGTTCATGCGAAGGTGGAAGAATTGTCAGGCCCACAGCACTGAATATGATAAAGAGCCCACGCCCCCAGAGAGATCCCCAATTTCACTTTATCAGTAATTACACTTCAACCCAAGTCTAAGATCTTAGTGGAAGTTCCTGCCACTTTTCTAAGGCATGGAAAGCTTCAAGATCAAAAGAGCACTCGGGAGGATTTCCAGCCAGACTTCACAAATGGAAACTCAACTTGTTTTTCGACGTTGCGGATGTTCCAAAATCCTTTGACTTGCCCCACCAAAAAGCGACCGTTCCAAAAACTTCCCCGACTAGGAATGGTTGGTTGTTGCCATCGGATTGGGTTGATTCGCCCCAAGTTAACTTATTGATCTTATTGGGAAACACTATTTGCTACAGCATCGCCTAACATCAGACTGACCACATTCATCATTCAGTGTTAAAAGCTGCAATAGGCAGGGAAGCATGAGCGGAACATGAACGTTTCAAAGCTGTTGAAATCAGCAGCAGTGGCACAATGACACCGCGGCTTCAATCCGTAGAACATCCGTAGAACTTCAAAAAAAAACTGCGCAGAGGAGAAACTTCTCTACTTCAACGGACATCTTCAACAGCAAGTCACCGCGTTGACACCTCGTCCGTTTGAATGCTTTCAATGTAATCTTTGTTCACCTGGAGCAAGAAGTTGATTTCCATGACAATCAAAATTCAAGATTGTCTATACACTGTATTCTGAGTCAAAAGACTGGTGACGAGCGGCATGCTTCAATGGAGGAGATGGAAGCAGTTACAGCATCCCAAGTCACTCTTGCCATGATCTGCTGTTGAACATCCAGAATATCCACAATAGAACTTTGAACTTTGCCTATTTGGGAGCGAAGTGACCCGGTCCAGGAGCGGTTGAAGTTCTTGGAGTCCTTGATGGGCGACAATGCAGAACTGGGCAAGGAAGCATGGCAGACAGGGTATGACAGGGTACCAGAATCACGCTTTAATCATTTTTAATCCATTGTGAAATCCACATTGTCAAAGTGTTGCACCTTGCTGTCTCGTTCAACAGACACTATCCTGTGTTGTTCTCAGTTCTGCTCTGTGCCCTTTGCTATGATTCACAGCACTGTGTAGAAAGTCGTAGAAAATCAGTATTTATTTATTGTCTTATTTTAGTGTCATTGAGTCATTGACATTAAGATATTGTCAGAACCTCTGGTTCTCTGTTTCTCTGCCTTCAATTGGAGGAGAGCCGCCAGGTTGTCAAGGTGCCACGGCCGCTCTTCAGATGTCTCAAATTGGTTGTTGGGAACGTCATCGCCTGCAATCGCATTGTTTGTTATTCTACCAAGCATCTCAGCAAGACAACGCGATGACTTGATGATTTGCAGATATTTGCAGTACATCTCCTGTTTAGTCATTAGTCTAGCATTTGCTGCAAAGGCTATTGAGCCCAAAACATCATGGTAAAGTCAGGTGGTAAAGTCAGTTTCAGTGGATGTCAGCCTGGACATGTTCGACATATTCTCTTTTACAATTCGCATCCATCGCCCATTCTCTGTACTCTCAGGTGTTGGAAGAGAAGCATGCCGGGGTACTGGATCGCTTGGATTCTGTTGAGAAGGTCGGCTGACATGGACAGAACACCTTGGAACACTTGGAAGTTGGAAGATGCTGATGGCGGTTGCAAAGCGGTTGCAAAGCGGTTGCAAAGCGGTTGCAAAGCGGTTGCAAAGGCTTGGTTGCAAACTGTCCATTTTTTCAGAGGATGATCTTGCCTTCCGACTCTTTCAGTTCTGAGAGTGTCTACTTTGCAAGTCGTTTGAAACTTTGGTACAAGCGCTAGGGCCGCTAGGGTTATATAGGTCGTATCAGCTCGTTAAAGGTCGTATCGGGAGGCCGCGCGCCTGGACAAAAAAACAATTTTGGCATCACCACAACTTTCAACAAGTGTAACATTTCATTGTTTTGGAGCCGTGCGCCTGAAACAAGTTCAATTTTTGTATTTAATTGCCTTCGGCAAGCTTCCATGAAAAAGACAGGAGCAAGCAGCACGGCAGAAGATCGAGGACTGCTATGGGCCTGTCCCGGGCCGTCTTCGTTTTTTAATGGGAGTTTCCAAATTCAATGTTAAGGACGCAACTCACAAGTAGTGGGTGTAGTGATTCGTGATGCCTCACAAGTTGCTTTGTGAATTTGGGCGACCTTGACGGCCCTGACCAGCGGTTACCAGCCTCAAGGGCCTCTTCCACTGGTTTTCTTTTGCTGTGCAACTGCCCCCGTCTGTTTTGATTCTGGATTTTCTTGATCAAAATCTTGATCAAAATCTTGCACTCAAGACATCCAGTCTTAAGTGCCATTGTGGTGTTTTTTCAGGGGCAATGGCGGTCTTAAAATCGGATGCCCGAGAAATTCCTCAGACCCTACGCCGCGCCATTGGACCATTCCCAACCCCTTTGGGATCATCGTTGGACAGGAGGTGATGAAGTGTAAGACGCAGGAACAACAGAAGCACAATGAAACGCAGGCTGAACTTGTTCGGAAGCCTGGAAGGGGAGGGCTAGCCAGTAGCTGCCGAGCAAAAAGTTGCTACGCATCAAACATGGGGGACTTAGCCTAGCCATGAAAAATTGGGATTTAAGTTGAAGCATTGCAAATTCGGGTTTAACTGTTATAACATGTTATAACTATAGCTGTTTAACCATAATCAGAATATGGGGCAATCAACTAATTTTACTTTTGATCACTGACTTCCATGTTCACCACTTGGTTTAACCATGTTTAACCAACAAGCTGGATCGACTTGTGCCATGGATGCCATGGATGCCATGGTCCTGGAGATCCATTGATCCACGCAGTCCACGATTGCCTAGGTGGATTCCTTGCAACGCACGGTGCGCCGGGAAGAGTTGTATCGGGAGGGGAGAACTCCAGCGTGGGATGTTCACATCACTCCTTTCATAGAGATCTTTCGCATTTCTTTGGACATTTTAACATTTTGGACTATGGACTTTCCTTCACTTGGAGGCTGAGAACATCCAGTCATCATGCGGATAAGCAGCTGGAGCCGCCATTGCATCATTTTGCTGTGCGCGATGACGTAATCCAGCCAAATCGGTCCCAGGATTGGAGACGACTTGGCTCAAGAATCCAATCAGGTGAGCAGCCGACATTCTGCCCAGCGAGATCAGTGAGATGAATATATTGCATCTGACAGAATTTCCTTCTGCAAACGCCCACTAGATGCTTTGTCTGCGGCCATTCAACGCGGGTCTTTGGCCGTTCGCCTCTCACAGAGTCTTAGAGCACAGAACAAGGCGGACAAGCTTTGTGCCTTTTCCCGGATGGGGCACTGTTGCCGTTGGTCCCCTTGGAGTATGGGCCGCAAAGTCGGTCTGGAAGTCCAGATCCCGTGCGCAGGCGTCCGAGTCGCTGCGGTCGCAGGGAACCCGATATCAACGGCGCTTGAAGAAAGCTGAACGCAAGAGGAGTCTCGTGGCTGAGCCGGCCCGGCGGTGTCCACCATTGACCGCACCTGACTGCAGCGAGTACGAAGCTGATTTGCAACGGAAAGTGACCTTCGTTGAGCAGCTTTTGGCGGAGCCTTTCACCCGAGATGCTGTAGATATGGAGGTGATTCGCTCGCCAGAGCTGCTGCATTACAGGCACCGTCTTCGATTTGAGTTGAGGCATGCCGAAGATGAATCCATTCAATATGTTGTCTTTGATCCAGATTCCAATGCCTGGATCCCTGTCAACAGTTATCCGATTGCATCCAAGCGCATCAACCAATTGATGTTGGATTTGCAGGTTGCTTTGTCTGAAGAACAAAAGCTGCGCTGGAAAGCCTTTCAGGTTGAGCTCTTGTCAAACACTGTTGGTGAGGCGCTGGCTTTGATCATGTATCACAGGCGCTTGGATGATGGAGACGCCAAAAGAGCACAGGATTTGTCCAAAAGGGTGGATGCCAACATCGTGCTGCGTGCACGTGGGCAACGTTTGGCGTTCCCTGCTCGCAGAAGCTTCTTGATACAAGAGAATGAGGTCGCAGGTAAGTTGTATCCACAACGGCTGTTGGAATCAAGCTTCTTTCAAGCAAATCTGAAATTAAATCAGTTGATGCAGTCATGGCTGCTACAGGAGCTCGGAGATAGCTCGTCTCGGGACCTCCTGGAGATCTACTGTGGCAATGGCAATTTTACCCTTCCAGCTGCCTCCATCTTCCGCCAAGTCTTGGCGACAGAAGTGGATGGGAATTCCTTGGCAGCAGCCAAGGCATGTGCCAAAGAAGCAAAGATTGAGAACCTGCAAGTGAAAAAGTGCAGAGCTGAAGATATGGATTTCCAGCAGCTTTGTGATTTGGGATACGATTTCAGCACACTCTTGCTGGATCCCCCAAGGGCAGGCCTCAGCGATCGGGCCAGAGAGATGTCTTCGAGGTTTGATCGGGTCATCTACATCTCCTGCAATCCTCAAACTTTGGTGCGGGACCTGTCCCGCATGGAATCCCTTCGAATCCAGGGAGCCTGCTTGTTTGATCAGTTCCCTTGGACCGAGCATGCAGAGGTAGCACTGAACTTGGTTAAAACTTAGAGATATGATGAGATATGATGAGACATGTAGAGATGCTGCCAAACAAAGATTTGGCCCAAGGATTTCCTAGAAATATTGCATATATATTGCTTTCAGGTCTATGGATTTGCTTCATCCAATGCGGTGAAGTAAGGCTGAACTGCTCATTTTTGAGACCAGACTGAGATCTATATTTGGAGAAAACATGAGAAAACGCAGTTTGCGAAAAGAGAGATGCACGGATCCTTGCTCCTTCCTGGAACCTTCCTGCTTGAAAAGACTCATTGGTGCCTTGGTTTTCCATTCTCCAACTCACTTCTTCCTCTGTGCATGCGAGCTGCATCTGAAGCGTGTTTTGACCTTCCACAAATGCGTTGCTAACGTCTTTGTTTTCGCAGCAGGTTGGAATTTTTGATACGCTGATCCGAAAGGCGAGGACATGCGGAATATTGGCGAAGTCTTCTGCTGTCCCTCATTGGTGCCATGCAATCCAATGAAGACATATTCTCAAATCCAGCCTTCGGAAAAGGACATGGAGGAGCGGAAATCAGAGATGAAGCGCCTTTGGGTCCCAAACTTAGATCCAAGATGATGCAAAAAAAGGTGCCATTCGAGAACCTTTGCATTTGTTATTAATATGATAATGATATGATATGATCTACAGCCAAAATTTAGGTTAATGGAGAGTAGTATTCGAGACATCTTTATTTTTTACATTGAGCTGGGGCTTGGAAAACGATAATATAATAATACATGATAATACACTCTTCAAAAATTGATGACTTGGAGCTATATACCAAATATTGACCGTGGCCCATATCATAATTACTATATAATACTATATTACTATATAATACTATTACTATACTTATGTGATCTGACATGCAAGTATTCATCAGTAAAAAAAACCACTATCATTTTTTCATATTTTTTCTGTCATATCATTGACCCTCTGGTAATTTAACGTAGCTATTGAAAATGGCCATAGAAATAGTGGATTTTCCCATTAATAGCATGGTGATTTTCCATAGTTATGTTAGTTTACCAGAGGGGACATCATAGGTTTTCCCTACCTGATATCATATCATCATCGGCCTCGAGCTGCGAGGAGGTCGTTGATGGACTCACGCAGGACCGAGCCAGCTCCAAGGTCAAGGCGTAGCGGACAGCACCATGGGAACCATGGGACCGTAGGAAAATGACCATATCTACATCAGGAGTCAAAAGGAACATAGAGGCATGCAGGGTATATATATATAATATAATATATATATATAATATATATATATAATGTATACATATATATATACAATATACGATACCAAGCTGCCTGTCACTTTTTGGGGTCGAAGTTCGAATCACCCATCCCCTGGTACAGGTTGCTTCGGATGGCGAGGATGTGGAGGACATCGCTTGACTGCTGGGACTGCTGTTGGATGTTTCCAACTGCTATGATTACTGTTTCCTGGAATTTGGACGAGGAGAAAAGCCTGAGGCGCACTGTGGTGGAAAGGGCGTGGCATAGCAACACTAACTCTTTGTGGGAAGACGGTCAAACCGGGCATGATCAATCCTTTTTTTGCACATATGATGCAGCCGCAACCACGACTTGTAGCCGCTATATGTCCACGGCTCGAAACAACACATCAATTACCATCAAACTTTGATTCACACGACGATGTTGCTTCTTTTGACATGTGCAGATACGCGAACAGGGGCTGAATGTGATGGGTGTCTCTAAACAGACGTGACGTGATGATGGAACACATTTGCGAGAGCTTTCCAGCTGCTAGCTTTCCAGCTGACTGTAATCTCATCTAATTTCATTATATTTAATTTATTGTTGATCCAACTGCAAACCAAAGCCCGGCCCAAGCAGAACCGCCAGTGAACAGGCCAAGCAGATTCTCCCGCTCTTCACCATCTCTGGTAAATGCGACCAGCACGGCTAGGCTTGCTGACCTTTTGCCGTCGACATCACAAGCTGCACCAAAGGGGGGACTTTTGAGTAGGAAGCAGGGCTTTTAGTTGCATATTGTCTGAATTGTTCTTCACTCTTCACACCCTTTTTTGCTGTTCTTGGTGAAGATGTCAAGTTGCATAATCTTCTTCATTTCAATATCACACCTGACGATCAATGAACTAAATTGGCTCTGCCTAGTCAGGCTAGTCAGGTGGGATTTATGTTTTGATTTATGTTTTGGAGTCTTTGAACTTATCATCTTCAGACCTTAAAGTGATCAAACGTGTACCCTCTGGTAATTTAACATAGCTATTGAAAATGGCCATTGAAATAGTGGATTTTCCCATTAAAAATGGTGATTTTCCATAGTTATGGTAGTTTACCAGAGGGTAGCTGCAACTCGAAGTATTCAAAGGATTCAACGTCCACAAAAAGAGGCCTGGAGCAACGAGCTCGTCCACGAGACTTGTCAGCTACAGACCAATCAGTGGAGCTCTGAGCGCAGCTGACAGGATGCAGCGACAGACTGCATGTGAATAACCATGAAACATATCTAAATAAAATATAGATATCTAACGAATCTATTTTACTTCTGAAGTCATATTAGAGTAGTCATATTAGAGTAGTACTGTATATTAACATTATATTAACTATTAACGCTGGTGCTTGAAAGCTCACAGAGAATTTTCTGTTCTTTTGCTGATCTTGCGAGATGCAGTACGAGGAATGCCGTGCCGGGAGAGCGCAAGAATATCGCCGCTAAAGCGTCGCCAAATCCTTTCATGACGATGCGAGCTGTTCTCCAAGGTCTTTCCCACAACACAGGCAAGAGTAGTGTCCCTTGCTCAGAAGGGCTAGGACTGCAAAAGACATCATATTCGACATGTTTCTTTCTGAAGTGTGCAAAGGTTTGAAAAGACAAGTTTGGATTGGTGCTGGCTCTCTATTGGAACTATTCACTGTATTCACCAGGTCATGTGGGTCATGTTCGTTCCGTAGTCCTTCCATCAGACCCACTCTCCGTATCTCTCTGTGTTCGTATTGCAAAGTACAAAAGTGGTAGGAAGCAGATTGACCAAATTTTATGTCAACCCTGGATTAATAAACCCCGTTTACGGTTGTTAAAAAAAGGGGGGATACCATAAAATTCAGTATCAGATGAAATGAATTGAAATGACCATTTGGGGAGTACCCCCCTAATTTTCATAAACCATGGTTTAGTCTCATCCGGGGTTGACATTAGATCCAAAGAGAAAACCCGGACTGGAACAGATTGATGCCGACAAACTGACCGATAAAAAAAACGGCCGCCTGGTGACCAGGTCATATCCAACGACAGGACTGGTACAGGTGCCTGCGTTGAATTCCAACAGGGGTCTGGGACTGTCTTGAGCTTCAAGTCATCTGAGGACTGTAGATGTTCTGTTGGGAGATTGCAGGAACCTTCTCAAACTGCTACATTTCAGTACATTCCAAGTAAAAAAAGACCGAATATGACCGAAGAATTATGACCTTTCGCTTCAAATAGAATTTGCCCAGGCAACTGCACCAGCGGTTACCGTGCTACCAAGCAAGCCGTCCGAGCCTGAAGGCGTGACAAGAATCCGCCCAAATCCGCTGCTTCGCTGCTTCATGATGAAGTTTTTTTTCTCTCGAATTCTCGAAATATTGTGACTAGAATTGGCACACAATCACATTCCTATCTGTATTGCATCGTATTGCCGTATTGCATCGTATTGCATCATATTGCGATCCATGCGTCAACTCCCGAAATCACCACCGATCTGCCTTCTTTGGGGCTGACTTGCACCCAAAAAATCAAGTTGTCTGTGCAAACACGACATGAAATCACTACAAGGTTTGACTCCGCAGACCATACAATTTACAGTGACATACCCATACACATCATACACCAAATTCCCTTGCTTGCTTTGGTTTTTGGCATTCTTGTTCGTCAAATGGCAATACGCACGTACCACATGAAGAAGGACAGTCATGCAAACTCATCGTCATTTGTGGACAACTACCCTCTGGTAATTTAACATAGCTATTGAAAATGACCATTTATAGTGGATTTTCCCATTAAAAATGGTGATTTTCCATAGTTATATTAGTTTACCAGAGGGTATATACTCAAAATCAGAAAATAATCAGCAAATATGTCTCACTCCCATGAAACCATTTGAGACGGGTCTCCACTAGTGGTGTGTACACAACCATTTGTTCTATCACCCTCGGTGATGCCTGGACAGGGCGCAGCCCCTCACCTCACCGCAAGGTTTGGGATCCCAGTTGGAGTTCTTGCAGAAGTTGACGATGTTAAATGATGTTAAGGTTGTGATCAGATTTTCTGGGGTAGTGTTCGACTAGACGCATCAGTGAAGGGACTACCTTCATAGCAAAAAGACCAGAACATGTCCAAAGGGTTGTATCGGATGTACTTGGCTTATCCATTCTGGCAAGGCTAATGTGTGGCAAGGCGTTGAAGCCTCAAGACTTTGTTTCTGCTTAACTTGGATCCTAGATGTTCAAGACTTTTTAACCCATTTCCAGCCTGCGCTTCTGCGATCTTCGGAAAGCTAAAACTTTAGAACGCCAAAGATGACAGAGTTGCAACACATCAGATTTATGTGGGTTTACGAGCACAGCCATAAGCTATGTAGAAATATGTAGAATAGATTAGCATAGCATCCAGTCCAGAGACATCAGCCCGAGGCGCAGCCCGGTTCGTCCTCCGCGCAGAGTCAATGCTGAGATTCCGCTACAGACCATGGTGTTTTTGTGGGCATAAGGGAGGCATTAGTGACATGATGTGACATGGCTGTTGCATCCGGTGTCCTTATGCAAACAACAGACAACATGGGAGACAACAATACTAAACGACGCGGCGTAAATGTCAGTGGGTCAGAAAGAACACCTTTCTGTTGCTCGAGCTGTGCAGTCTGGCACAAAGCGGCCAACTCATTAGATGTTCGGGAACTAACCCCACTGGAAAAGATTTGATGTGATTTGATGTGATTTGATATGACATGATATGACTGAAACATATTAGAACATATTACAATATATCAGACTATATTATACCGTACAATTATACCATATTAATCTATATTATATAGATCATATATTAGATTCTTCGATCATAGTTAAGACTAGTTTAGGTATTTGTATATCTTTGTTGGAAGCATTGCAACGGTGGGCATCCTGTGAGGATGCAAAAGTTAGGCCACAACTTGATACACCACAGAACGCATGACATGACATTCGGGGCTTTTGATGGCTCCCCACTGACGATGACATGCCATGATGCACTGCGAATTTCCAACGTCTTTCACCCCACAGTTTCGGTCGTCACGGAGGTCACAGCAGAAGATTGGCCCTTGGGCCTATGGCCATATGCCAAATCCATTGTTTCAAATCCACCCTTCGCATTTTTAGCAGCTGTGGCAACTCAATGATGTTTGAATCAAAGCCCACTCAGGGTCTTGGCTGAGAAAAATGAAGCTGTGATTGGCTTTTCCAACCTGTGTGCGTCTACCTCTGCTTTTTTGTGGCACAAGTTAGGAAGGTAAGAGGTGTTCGCTTTCAATAGCAGGCGCATTGGCGTGCATACACGCAAGAAACTGGCATGATTAGTTCAGAACATTTCAAGAATAAGTCAGAGGTCTTTATTTCTAGTGTATAGTTAATGTATATGTTAATGTGATCCCAAAGTTAGGTCATTTGTTGTCACCAAGTGTTTCGTTTGGTCCCCTCGGGTCCCTGAAATCCTTTGCCATTCCCATCCCGGTAGCGGCTTGGGTGGCGATTCTTTGGCCGCCGCCCAGTGCATCTTGTAAGGCCTGGGACGAGGGCACCGTCACCCATGGATTTCTGTGATTGTTGGCTATTTTGTTTGATGATCCTGATGCCTGTGCATTGCCAGATTTATTTTTTTTGTTTTCGCTGATCACGATTTCGCTAGCTAGCTGGAGTTGGATTTGCTTTAGCAATGAATTTGGGGCAGACTGGATGCAGCTTCCATGATCTTTCGAACTGGTTTTGGGGCCCGCCCTGTTGGATATGATTAATGGTAGTGGTAGTGGTAGTTGTAATCGGGTGGACTTTTTGAACCTGCGTTTTTATCATTTTCACTTCCACATGTGCTTCGCGCCACAACACCGTGCATTTTCTGAACATCTCAACTTCCAAAAGTGCTCCGACACTAAAGTGTTTTCAACATGTGTGCTTCCAAATGTGCTTCGCGCCACAACGCCGTGCACTTTTTCGACATCCCCGCTGCCAAAATTGTTCCGGAACTTTTTGACTTCCAAATCTGCTTCACGCCAGAACGGCGTCACAACGGCGTGCAATTTTTCATCTCTCATCTGGCCAGATGGCTCTGCACCTGCCGCTTTGGCGAGCCTACTTTTCGACCCTCCGGAGCCACAAAGCATTGGGAAAACACAGTGTCTCGCGACTTTTCTACCTTTTCGTGCGCCTGCATCTTCTTTCTTCTGACTTTCTCTGAGCTTGTGTCTTCTGCCTTTTTTTCTCTGACTCTTGCCACTTGTCCTTATTGTCGGAATTTCGAGTTCTAAACTTCCTTCGGCCAGGAGCGTAATGTTGACGTTGGTATGCTAGGATGTCAGGGAGAAAGTTGCAGAATGATTATGGTGCATGCGAACTAGAACACCATGATGCCCAGCTGTTAACGTATTTGTAACATCGAATGATACTTCATTTCAGTTCAAGAAATGACGCTCAACAGGTTGCGCCACATATTCTCTCAATACATATCTCTCCTTGCCCAACTAGCTTTCGCCCTCTTCCCTTTGCCTCAAGTTTTTGATCTTTGGGAGACTGGTGCAGAACCGTTTGGGTTGACAATTCTGCAAAGGTTGAATGTCTTTGCTCCCACACAGTTCGCTGCGAGGCTTTGACAGGTGCATAGACAACCAAGTAGCGGCCCCAGTATTCATATTCACAATATGAATTCCATGCAAACGGTTTGGAGTAGATGGGCAGGTAATTACTATTTAATAGACCAGTTTTCGTTCATTTTCTGATGCTTACTCTTTCACCTAGTCTATCCTTGTCTTATCTTCACATCGAACTCATCCAATTCAATTTTGAAGCCGCTGTTCCACACACCTGAGCAGACGTTTTGTTGGACAGGTCTGGAACATGGATTTTTCTGATTCATCACCTGTCACGCCTGCCGCTCACGAGGCGTTTGTCGCCAGCCGAGAGTCTTTTGGACATGTCTGGACCCTGAACTTTGCAGCGCGCAGACCTCTCCGACAAAGTGGCGACCAATAGTGAAGCAAAATATCGGGAAACACTGGGACAAGATGTACGATTGATTTTCATCAAAGCTCATATGGGGATGGGTCAAAACCTATTAGTATCAATTTTAATGGGATGAACATCCATTTACCAGCTGTTTTGTGGTTCACTAGGTACCAGGGTTATGACTCATAGCCATATACAGTATATAATTAGAAACACAAAGAACATGATTAAGGTCGTGAAGAGTGAGTCCACATCTCCACCTGTTTTATCTGACCTGAGAGCTTTGGCCACGAAAGACAGTTTCCCAATTTCCCACCTGGCCGTAAATAGATTCCTGACAAAGATTCGTGGTTCATCTGGTGTTGTGCACGTCCAGTCCAAACGGACTGCGCCAAGAGTTTGTTTTGATCACTAATCAAAACAGTGGATTGATTGCCAATTCTGGGAGAAAATGACATGTTGCACTTTTTGGAACGCCTGAGACGGAGTGATTATACTTCTTCTGAAAAGAGCGAAAAGTGAGAAGTGGATTACGAAGGCTAAACCACTATAGGAAAAAACTGTTTTAAGAAAGACTGAGATACCTTTGTGGCACGAGGATGTCAACAAATGAGTGCTTCTGTGCGTATGCCTACATCAAATTACCCCACGTTGCGCATACGAATTCTGGGTATTACTGTAGATGTTGTGTATTATATATATAAATTATTATTATATTATTATATATATAAAAATTATTATTATTATGATGATGATTATTATTATTATTATAATATATATATTATTATTATATATATTATTATTATTATTATTATTGTTATTATTATTATTGTTATTATAGATATATTTATATATTTGCATCTCTTCATTGATGTTGTCCTGCTTCAAACCTGAGCTGTCAAGCACTTCTTAGGAACCATAACTTTTCAATAACCGATCACTGGTGTTCGGGTATGAAGACATTTTCTTCAAGCATTTGACGGTTCTAGCAGCAAAACCCCCAGGGGCCATGTGATGATATGAACTGGAACAAATCAGATTGATTAGCCAAAACTAGGGAATCCCAAACCACATCCCATTGTTCTCCTGATTTTCCACATGAATACTATGGCCGATAAAACGGAGTATTCCCGACTAATTATCCACATTTCTGGGCCTAATCATCAGATCACAGAGTGCTCAGGTCAAACGAAGCTGGGTCCCACCTTTTTCTGCCCTCTGTGGTGCTTCCCAGCGGGAATGGATGCTCGTAGACTTCGGAAATGTGAAAGTATGTGAAAGTCATAGATAATTTATATTGATTTATGCTAATTTGCTACGGAATGGACACATGAATTTGCTACGGACGAAACCGTGGACAGGTCCATGGTTTCACATGTTAAAAATCTGCATCTCTGTATATGACCAACTTTTCCAGCAACTGCTGTACTTTGCTGCATGTGTCGCATGGTGGTAATGGATCCAACTGCCAACCTCGGTGTACATTCCCCTGCGAGGCAAATGACATCCCCTTCGGAAAGACATTGAGCTTACGCAGCATGCGTTCCATCCAAGAAGAAGAACCCGTACTTGCATCCTTGACCAGTTTGAGAGGTTGTGAAGTTCGTGTTGACTTCAGACTAGTCATGGACTAGTCATGGTTGCATGTTTTGGTGGGGAGCAATGTTGGCTCCTGCAGTGGCCTCACACGCTAGGATTCCTTCTTTGCGAGGATCTTGTACGATTTGACAGTTCTTTTACACTCTCTTTCTAAATCTTTCTCATAAATCCTTTGCAAACTAGCTGCGAGACGATAAATTCTAGCACTCCTATGACTCCTATGACTCAATTGCATCAATATGTTCGATATGAATGCTGTCTGGAATCTCCATGGGTTCAAGGAAGACTATGCTTGCACTGCTCAGCGCCAGGATCCTATTGGAAGGAGCCCCAGCACAACTGTTCCCACACCAGTTGGGAAGCCTGGGTGCATCGGTTTTGCAAAGGAACCAGTGATTACTTTCTTACTAAAAATGCAACTAACAATTGTGGTAGTTCCTTTTGCTACCAACCAATTGAGACCAATGATTTTGTGCCCCCTTTTGGAGAATCTGGAGAATAACGTCCCTGATTTGGTTGTGAATCTCTGCTGAAGATGTGGAGCTTTGGGCAGTGACGAGATCTCTTGCAGAGGTGCAGGTCTAAAGATGTACAAGGTATACGACATTATACGAAATTATACGAAATTCCTGGCGGTCCTTTTCCATACTTTTCCATACTTTTCCATACGGACCAGCATGGTGGCTTGCCGACTGCAGGTCCCTCTCCCTGAATCACTTCATAGTTGATCCGGTTTGGGTTCTGCTTGGCACAGGATGCGGAGTACTTCGGATCTCCAAACGCTGACTTCTTAGCTTGTTGCGCCCCGGTCCGTGCAGAAATCCTATGTAGCTACCACATCCATGCCCAAGCTACTGCAAATGGGGATCATCTCATGGGAAAACCCATGTGAGGCATTGTAGTTTTGGGTGAGCACTTGTTTAGTTGGTCGGTCATTGGCAACTGCTTTTAGTGATGGGCCGATTTTCGTATTTTGCTTTGAACAACCTTGGGGTCCATCCACTGCATTTGCTCTACTGTGCATACTTGTTATGTTTTTTCGGTACCCTCTGGTAATTAAACATAACTATGGAAAATCACCATTTTTCACGGGAAAATCCACTATAAATGGTCATTTTCAATAGCTATGTTAAATTACCAGAGGGTATCATAGATGGATACGATGTGCGGCACATATCCCGTGGACTGCCTCCGACTGCCAGTTGTCCAAGTGCCAAAGTGCAGATTCTATGGAGCTTGGGTCCTGCCGAGGATGAGCGGTCCAGCTTTGGGCCCTCATTTTCTTACGCAGGGGTGGCCAAGCTTTAGGTTCCTTACAGTAGATCCTTACAGTAGATCCTTACAGTAGATCCTTACAGTAGATCCTTACAGTAGATCCTTACAGTATCTTACAGTTTGTCTCAGTGACGAGCAAGGCCTCTTGGATTTCACCAATGGAAGCTGTTTTTGCTGATGAATCCTTAGCGGATTGGTCGAGATTTGTCGGGCCTCGGCGGCTGAGGTTGCAGAGCAAGGTAGGATGGCAAAAGGCGTTTAGCGAGCGTTTGACAGTCTGGACTTGCAATGGATCATAGAGGTAGGATGTGGTACAACTTCTTAAGGGTCCAGATTGGGAAGACTTTTCTGTTTAATTGAAAGCCTTGAATGTACGCTATCTCCGTAATTCTCAGTATATCTCAGCATTCTCAGTATTTTTTTCTCCACCACAGGCAGTCAGGGCTGTTGCAAGATTTCCGTTTGTATTCTCTTCACAGGCAGCGACACTGAAGAGGAAGAGGAGGAGGAGTTGGTGACAACACAATCCTTCAAGTTGTTTTTTCTTCCCGGCAGAGTATATCACGGAACTTGGGATAACTTTGGTGCAAGGGTCCCATGTTGGCACATCAATCGGAATCCACTGCGACGCGACCAGCTCTAGGAGTTGGCATGGGCTAAGCACACCTCCATTGTGACGGACTATGGAGAGGATGTGAAGAGCTTGGAAGAGCTTGGCGGAGCTTGGCGTGTATTGCATAGAATGCATTGAAATGGATTGTAATATATATATATATAATATATATATAATATATATAATATATATATATAGAGGATAAAGTCATCAGATTTCCTGTCACTTGATTGTAGAATGATGAACAAGTCTTGAGCTCTTTTTTTAAATGGGTGAATGGACCTGATAGCCCTGACAAAAATCGTGATCGCCACAGGTTTGGGTCAAGCCTTCTCCACGACTTGGTCTTCAACTGACCCCACCGGAAGCTGTGTGGCCCTGAGGGCTACACCAAGGGTGTCACAGGTGCCACACCCCAAATGACTGTCGTGGACTCAAAAGTGCCTCAAATTACTTTTGATTTGGACTCTTTCTTTCCCAAGACCAGCCCGATGGCAATGGAGCAAATGAAAGGATCACAAGCTGCAACAGACATCAACAGACAAGGATAGACAGCTGCCGAGATATGCCATGAGCGATGCAGACATTTCTGAAACGATCAGCCGAGCATAGCCGAGCCCCGAGCCGACCTGAGATGCGTGGAAGCCGTCGCAATAGTAGGCTTGCACGAGGCCACCGGTGGCGGCACCTGGTTAGACTTGGGCTGGAAAATTCCCCCATTCAGTTTCAGGGTTTGACATTTTTTTCCCATTCAAACATATTAAATCAGTGGTTTGATGGGAAATCACTAATATGATCTAATTAGTTTGATTAACATTAGAATTCCCATTAAAACAGTTGATGAGCTAATTTTGTTTGACTGATCAAACATGCCAAAGCTCATCATTTGCAACTAGCGGCTATTTTTCAAAAACACGAGTAGAAATGCGAACTGCGAACATGCTCATTTCTTTCAGACCGCCATCCATGTGTCCTTTGCCAGAATTCAAGTGCGGACTATTTGATTTCTCATGATTTATGTCTTGGCCGCTACCAGCAGTACCATGACCATCTATGACCAGAATTTAGGTGGGAAGGTTGTGACCATCAAGGACTTAAGCTATGGGGAGAAGATGCGATACGAAATCGGTGTGGGGATGGTTGAAACTACATCAATTGTTGGGGGATGCACATCAATTTACCAGCTATAAATGTATGTTCACCAGGGTACCAGGGTTTAGATCCACTCGCACGCTAGAATTTTTAATTTTAGGGCGATCTCTTGTAACAAGAAGAGATTCAAAGTCCGTCTCCCGGTCATGAGACTGGGCAATGTTCAACCCCTGGGCTCAGGTATCTCTGATGAAGCTGATGAAGAGCTGGAGGAGCAACGGGAAAAGTTGACTTAATCTCATCATATGGCTATGGATCAATACCTATAGATACCATTTTTAGTGGGATGAACATCCATTTTAACCCAGCTATTTTGATGCGAACTGCAGGGGGACTATTGGTTTTGACACACTGCCATATCCCAAGAGGTTTCTTGAGAATACTTCAGAAAAAAACACTTTGCCACTGTGGCCCACTTTTTTACACCATGTGGACCGGAGGTGGGTAGTCAGGTAGCTGCTGAATAGCTTACCAACCTAATTAGAAAGAGTCGATTTCCAGGAAAACACATGTGGCATACCTTTTGAAATCTGTTTAATATTCCAAGCATCTTCCAAGCATCTTCCAAGCATCTTCCAAGGGCTATTTCTTTCGTAGCACGTACCACATGAGATGGGTCCAATACATGAACAGCAAGGCTGGAAGTTGCAACACCAGGACCCCATGACTTTCACCAAGTTCAATAGCTTGTTGACAGATGGCGGAGAGGACTGGAGCTGTCTCACTTTTTTAGTTCAGCTTTACCGATGCAATTGATAAAGAGTGAAAGCTCGTTCTCCGTTCTGCTACTTGAAGCATGATTACCAAGACTATTCCAACAATCTTAGCTTTTCTGTGCTATTGATGCTATTGTTAAAACATCACACCTCCCTTAAACATGTTCCTGGAGGGGGGGTCACGTCTGTAAGAACATTTTCCAAGAACATTTTTGTTAATAGCTGATCATATGAATGGCGGCTTTTATTGAAATTAGAAATGTTTAGGGCCTGGGAGCTGTCCTCAAGCTTAAGAAGTGATTCTTCTTGTTTAAGGTTTCGTCCTGAACCCTGTGAAGAGAATCTTCTTCTTCTTTAGGGCTTCGGGCCCCGAACCTGGTTTCTGGACCCAAACCTGGTTTCGGGCCCCGAAGCTGGTTTCGGGCCCCAAATCTCTAATTTTGCGATTTTGGATGTTTTTGGATTTTAAGGCTGGACATGTTATGAAACGTTTAAGATTCTGGGAGCCATCCTCAACCTTCTTCTTGTTTAAGGTTTCGTCCTGAGCCTGGTGAAGGCAGTCTTCTTTAGGGTATCCTCCTGCCCGTTTACCCCCTGACGTCAAGGCAATCATTTTGTAATTAACCCACCTCTCGCTTCCACAATGTCATGATTTCAAATTTTAAAGGCATGAGCTCTAGAGGTGGTAAATGTTTTGAAACGTTGTTTGCGTTGTAGCCTTTTGTTTCTTTTCTTCGTTTTGGTGCCTTTTTTTGCAGGTGCCCTTTTTTCCTTTCCTTACGTGATGAAAGGGGTCAGGAAAGGGCACCTTGAAAAAATGTTCCAATTACTTTTGATTCCACATTTGGGGAGAGGACCATCCATTTGCCAACTCTTTTCATTTTCACCTAGGTCTTGACTTACAGCCAAATCCCTATTCTGAATTCTTCTCATACGGGTTTGTCTTCAAATAGCGCACCTTAGAGTCAACGATGGATCATCATCATCATCATCATCATCATCATCATCATCATCATCATCATCACCATCATCACCATCATCACCATCATCACCATCATCACCATCACCATCATCACCATCATCACCATCACCATCACCATCATCACCATCACCATCACCAGCATCACCAGCATCATCAGCATCATCATTGTCATCATCATTGTCATCATCATTATCATTATCATCATCATCATCATCATCATCATCATCATCATCATCATCATCATCATCATCATCACCATCACCATCACCAGCATCACCAGCATCATCAGCATCATCATTGTCATCATCATCATCATCATCATCATCATCATCATCATCATCATCATCATCATCATCATCATCATCAGCAGCATCATCATCATCATCAGCATCATCATCATCGTCATCATCATCATCATCATCATCATCAACAACATCAACATCAACATCACCATCATCACCATCATCACCATCATCACCATCATCACCATCATCACCATCACCACCACCACCACCACCACCATCATCATCATCATCATCATCATCATCATCCTCATCCTTATCCTCCCTGCCAAGTATCATCACGATTTGAAATTGTTCTTATCCCCCCCCACGTCCCTCGCCCCACTAAGGAAGGGGTTATGTTAAAACATATTTTCAACGTTTTTCAAATGTTTTTTTGAGTCAGGCAGGTTTAGAAGCTTCGCCCAACAGGACGTCAGATGGGGTGCATTTTTGACCGATGACCCTTTGGCCACCACTGCATCCCGAGTTCAGCTCCCAGCTGCTGGTCCTGGCGGAGCATTCCATGTCGTCGAATTCTTCCTTTCGCTGAGGACTATGTGGCATTGACAATGTATACGTATAAGATCGTATAAATATATTATTTCATATTCATGTCTTTGTATATGTAAATATGACATTTAGAGATATCGATGTTTTCTGTTTTTTGAATAGTTTCATTGACCGTTATGTTGAGGTCCGAAGCCAAGCTCGGATTGAGAGCCTGCGTGCACAGAGTGCCGCAGAGGACTGCGAAAGCATTGGAGAGATTCGCAGAGCTTCACCGTGGCTGGTCATTTTGGTCATGAGAAAACCAGACCACGTGATGATACCATACAAAACATGTTTCTGTGTACAGGTGGTGTATACATACATCATCATACATCATTATGATGTGTATAATTATATAATTATATAATTATATAGTTATATATTTGTAATTATATATTTATATATATAATTATATATATATAATTATATATATAATTATATATATATAATTATATATATAATTATATAGATAATTAAATATAAATATATATATATACATATTTAGAATTTATATTCCAAATTCGGACAGATGTCCTTTTTGGTATTGCAGTGCTTTGCGTTTGGATGTCGTGAGACACCCCGCAAAAAATGCCCAGGACCTGAGGTTGGGCCGCTTCAACAGCATGCGCTCAAATCAAGGGGAGGCAGCGAAACCGCTGTTCGTGGTTGCCGTGAATCCAATGACCAAGTCACACACATATATTATATATTATATACATATACATATATATATATACAAATACACATATACATATACATATGTATATATATATATATAGATACACACGTATATATATATATATATACACATACATCATTTACAGGATAATTTGAGCAATTCTATACGCATATATAGGTAGACAATGGTAGACATGTTTTATTTGTTGGTCCAATGTAGGGATTGCCCAGCCAAATTACATTTCTCAATCTTGGGAGAAGCCACTGGTGTAGACTCTGAAACCACACGTGCTTTAACACAATCAATATCAATCAATTGATTCGTACCCGAGTGAAACCCGAACATAGAAGACGGAAAGAAAGGTCTCGACGGTCTCGATCTTAAGGTTCTGTTTTCTCCTGCACTGAAGACGGTCATGAGACGTGTGATGTGATCAACAAGTTGGCTGCGAAGCACTGCTGCCTTACCTTAAGCCTGCATGCCATCGGAATACATTGCATTGCGTTGCGTTGCGTTGCTTTGCATCACATTACCTACCTTACCTTGCATTACCTTACATTACCTTGCATTACCTTGCATTACCTTACATTACATACAGGGTTTATTACATATACGATACAAAGATGATACAAGTATGTAAAATACACATATATCATCATATATTATATAATATACTCAGGTGGTGCCAAAATTATAGAACGAAATAAGGAGTACAAAAGTACGGTAAAATACCGTACCTTCGTACTCCTCCGGATCCCGATTCCGCGCGGATTCGGATCCTGTTCTATAATTCATTTTTCTGTTCTATAATTTCTGGCACCTTGGAGGTTACTGTACATATATTTGCATCATTTTATGTATCTTTCTGGGAACCCGGAAGAGGTTATTTACTGTACATATATTTGCATCATTTTATGTATCTTTCTGGGATACCAGAAAAAGTGACACAGAAACCAGAATTATAGCGCAAAATTAATTATAGAACGGAAGAAATAATTATAGAACGAAACTGGTAAATGTGGGAAAAAGGGGGAAAACACAATTATAGTTATAGAACAAACCGGAATTATAGAACGACGAAAAAAAATAGGAGTAAGTTAGTAAGTTAAGATAAGTTTTTTCCCCGCCAGCCAGGTGAGGGTTGTTAGATTTTATCAGAGCTGTTCTCCTCCTTCTCCTCCTCCTCTTCTCTCTCCTCCTCTAGTTTCTCCTCGACCATGTCTGCATCAACTTCCACGTCCACTTCCGCCTTGCCAACTCGTCGCCAATCTCTTCGCCAAATTCCGCGCGCAGTGGGCACTGCTGGACCTCAACTGCAAGGTTCTGAGCGCAGTGGGCACCGCTGGACCTCAACCAGGGACCTTCCGAGCCCAGTGGGCACCGCTGGACCTCAACCAGGGACCGCTGGACCTCAACCTGGGACCTTCCGAGCTCAGTGTGCACCGCTGGACCTCAACGGCCAGATAGAATGCCAGAAGATATGCCAGATAGAATGCCAGAAGATATGCCAGAAGATATGCTGCCAGAACAGATATGCCAGATAGAATGCCAGAAGATATGCCAGATAGAATGCCAGAAGGTATCCCAGATAGAATGTCAGATAGAATGCCAGAAAGTATGCCCGATAAAGTGCCAGAATGTTTGCCAGATAGAACACCAGAAGATATGCCAGATAGAATGCCAGAAGATATGCCAGATAGAGTGCCAGAAGATATGCCAGAACAGATATGCCAGATAGAATGCCAGAAGATATGCCAGATAGAATGCCAGAAAATATACCAGAACATATGCCAAAAGATATGCCAGGCAGAATGCCAGAAGGTATGCCAGATAAAGTGCCAGAATATTTGCCAGATAGAACGGAAGAAGATTTGCCAGATAGAATGCCAGATAGGATGTCAGCAGATATGCCAGATAGAATGCCAGAAGATATACCAGAACATATGCCAGAAGATATGCCAGGTAGAATGCCAGAAGATATGCCAGATAGAATGCCAGATAGAATGCCAGAAGATATGTCAGAGAGAATGCCAGAAGATTTGCCTGTAACAAAACGTATAAATGTCATGGTGGGGATCACTCGACGTAAAGTTTTTTTTTTCATACCTTTCCGAGGAAAACATGATTATGGAACAACAGGGTACGGTAAGTAACCGTACCTTCGTACTCCTCAACTTCCGCTCTATAATTCATGGGAATTCCAGGATCCTAAATTGGAGGTACTGTACCATATAAGGCCATATTTTGTGGGGATATTCCCTTACATATGCCTTATATAGGCCTTATATATGGTAGGTACCTCCAATCTAGGATCCTGGAATGGCCATTGAATAATTCTGGCACCGACCAGATGTTAATCTAGATGGATCTGCATCTTCGCGGGCATTTCGGTGGGCAGGAGCTGCCAATTGGAAAACACAGCAGCCTGGTGACGGACTTTGGAGATGAGGTGCCACAGGGTGCCACACGGTGCCAAGCCATCCATTGGGCCAATTGGATCATCACTTTCTGTGTCAACCTTGGATTCATGATGAAAAAATGGATGCTTTTCTGCCCAATCTGACTTCATCATCACCAAGAGCGACACGACTTTTGAAAAACTCGCCATGGGTCGCAGAATTTGCGTCAGGAGGTGGTAGGAAATATGCCAAGTCTTATCACCAAGACCGTGGCCTGGAAGCCCTGGAAGCATCTGGAAGCCCTGGATTGTCGAATTGTCAAGGTTTGATTTCCCGCTCCAAACTGGCGATGCCGTTGATTGATGTTGGGAAGATGTTTGTTGGAAGCATTCTTGCTGTCTGAGCGAACTACTGGGGAGTTCTGGTCTCATGAGACTAGTTTGTCCATGGTACAGTGAATGGCACTGATAGTGGTCGAACTCCATTTACACCGTTCGCATTCGAAGTGTCAATTTCCTTGGCAATGTGAAGCAACATGTCTGCTGTATTAGTACACAATACATCCCTCCAACTCCACTGTAGCAGTCCTGACTCCGAGACCAAATTTCTTCATGAACGTGGTTCCATCGATGCTTTGGAGGCGTGTCACAGGTCTTTGCTCCGGTCACTCTAAAAAGAGCCAGAATCTTCACAAGGGGATCATGTGACCAAATCGTGCCCGCGAGTGAGAATCTGAAGTGTGATTCTGGAAGAATTCTACTTCAATCATCTACCATTCTGACTCACCATCTAGTCCCAAAATATCCCAAAATGGCTGCTGACTCACACTTTGCCCTGAAACAAGCACCACCCTTTTCACAGTCTGCTATCGTCAGGACACATTGCAAGCAGCCGCTTTTGCAAGTGCTGCCAATGCGGCGGCTCCAGGCTGGGATTCGCGGCGGGGAATGGCTCGCTTTCCGGCGGTTGACTATCATGGCCCAATGGCGCTAACATCGATGGTCGTTTGATATCAGATTTCAGCGACTCGGTAGATCTGTGTACTTTCTCTCCGTGCATTGTACAGTGTTCCACTTTACCAAAAACTTTCCATTTGCTGTGATTGAGCTGGCAATCTGATTACACTCGGTGGAATGTCTGTTCTGAAAATTTGTTTTTGAAATTTCAATCATTCTTTTTCCCTTTCAAGATTTTGAAAAGAACACCTCCGGAGGTTTAGAACCTTCAATTATCAAATCAACCAGCTTGACTGCACATTTCACTCAAACTTCTTCAACTTCAAATCCAGGGCCAGCTCTTTCCCGATTCTGATAGAACCGCAATACAAATTTGGGGTGCAATCAGTTTAGCCGCTTTGCCCGTGCACGCAGTTCGCCGAGCACGGGCGAACTGACTCGTGATACGTCATCGTAGCTGAGGCATGCCTGGCTATCCGTTGGCATCTCAGAGACGCAGGGAAGGGGCGATGTAAAGCTCAGCCTGCGGAGTTCATGTGCTCTGTTCCTGCAGCGCAGCTACCCAGCTGCGGAAAAAGTATGTCGCGTTTAAGGAACTTTCAACAGCCCAGGCGCTGGCGATGTCTGGGTTGAGAGTGTTGGGACTCTGGAAACAAGAGATGTTCATCCATTTGCTGTGGTCGATTTACTATTGGATTACCAACGGTTACCAAGCTATCAAACATTCCATTTTCAGGATAATTATCAAACTTATCAAACATTCCATTTTCATCCATTTTCAGGAACCCAATTGAAAAAAACCCATAGCAATTTGCATTTCAGAAGCCGGCTCTCCAGAAACGAAGCTCCACAAGTTCCGCCGGGAGTTCTCCCACAGGCTCCCCGTTCGGGCGATCCTTGGACATTCTGGAGATAATACACTGTATGTAATATAGATATGTGATATGTATAGTTATATATATATATATTCACACAAATTTGTATGTAAATGTACATATCTATATTATAACTATGATTATCATCATGATTTTTACATATTTTTACTATATATCATTGCTATGATTACTATTATAGTACATAAATATATGTATGTTAGAAATAGGTCCTTGATACCTGCAAACAAAAACGGACGCTTCTTAAGTGAGATCACGCAGATGAACCCGGAAGGCCCGCGGCCGCCCGGCAATCCCACCCGCCTTCTTGCCATTAGAGGAGATTTTGGGTGGGAGATGATAGGAACACAACTGAAGTTGGAGATAGTTGGAGATACTTGGAGATATCCTATGTTTCATGATGTTTCTATTTCTTCAGGGCAGTGCTTCTGGCAAGGTTGCATGCAAAAATTGGTGGACTATGCGATCTCTTTTCCAAGCTTTTGAATCCAAATGATGCTATTACTATTCCTGTCAAGAACAGTGGTTAAAAGTTCTTGACACATAGATTCAAAGATATTTTTGACATTCGCAGTGTCTTCTTCGAAGAAGCCAGCTGGACTTCGCAAGGCTTTTGCTACCATCAAACAGGGTCAAGCACCTCTTGATCAAAGGTATTCACGGAAGCGAAGAAACTTACCTGATACATGATGCCGAAAGATTTACATATTTGACATTGATTTACTGTATATGTTAGATCGTTTTCAGAAGCATATATATATATAAATAACATATACCCTCTGGTAAATAAACATAGACCCTGAAAATCACCAATTCTTAATGGAAACTAGTCTTCCAACCCCTATCTGCCAGGGTCTATGAAAAAAATACCAGAGGGTACAGTAAATCAATGTATATATATATATGTTTTTAAATGTTACACCTTCAATTCAGAAGCATCAAATGCAGTCTGCAAAGCCCAGGAGAATCCTGGACTGCCCCGCAATCTTCAGCCGCCGCTAGCTCCAGCGACAAACTCCCTCCCAGGCGTGGCGACGCAATCAGTGTGGGTAAATGGACCAGTTCCTGCTGAAACCAAATATAATGGCTACATTAGTGGCATATGTCATATTTTCTTTCTAAACTAAATATTATAGTGGCAATCAGACTCTTTCACCGCAACTCCATAAACATTCACGATCAATTACATACACACTACACATGTAATATGCAATGCTATATTATCCTAGAATGGCGGACAGCGGCTTGATTTTTGATCAACAAGGTCTGCCTTGTTGACCAGTAGACCGTTGAAGGTGCCGCTAGCTTTTCGCCGGGAGGGCTGTTGAACTTGGCCCAGGCGTGGCCAAAGAATAAGGTGGGCACCATCTAGCCCATGTATGCCCATGTAACATATCCTTGCTGCCAAAAGGATTCTTGGAGGATTGAAATGGATTGGACAAGCTTGGGAGGGCAAGTTTGTAAATTGTTTGCAAGCAACTGTGACAGACAGAAGCAGCTGATACAAACAGCCTAGATCTTTGATGACCTTGGTACATCTTCAGTTTTTTCAGGGCCAAGCTGGCGCTTCAGTCCCACCACTGTATGGTGGTCAGGCGATGCTTGCTGTGATTTGCGCTGGAGTCTGGGACATGTGAGACAATGTACAAGACTACCTAACGGTGCAGAAATGAATGGATTTCGTGGGGCAGCCCGTTTCCTGACATCTTTGCACATATTTGAGGGGGCTTCGCCAACAGCTGCTGCGATTCAATCACAAGCAGCTCAGGCAGCCCAGGGAGCCAGGGTCGTGAATCTGGGAAGTGCAAGATAGTACAAGATGTACAAGTACTCTTGAGAACATGATGGATCCAATTTTGAGGAATTCCCAGCATACAAATGGCTTTGGGCTTTGGAAGCCTTCATTTGTACTGTATCATGCTGTAAAAATCGCTTTCATACCCTCGTGTCGTTGCCATCTCTCGGGAAATTGCGTGTTGTATGTAGGAGGCCTCAGGATTGGCCGAATCCTTTTTGGATTCTTGGAACATCCAGCTGCAGTCTCTTCGTGTCGTGAGTTCAACCCTCCATGTAGAACTGTAAGCAGATGCTAAAGTCCCAGACATCTGAATCATCTGAATCCAGGCATCCGGATCCCATCAAACCACTCATCCAAGCTTTCCAATTCTGCTTGTTTGGCAGATGGCGCACGAGCGGCTTCTAATGGCAGATGCATCAGAGAGGCTCCCCGTCTTTTGTTTTTGAGAGAGGGAGGCCAGGAGGGCCCCATTTTTACAGTGTTTTGTGTTGTTTTTTTGATAATTGAGGTTTATTTATACTCATAACATGTTTTTCTGTTTTTTTTTCATATTACTTTGTTTCTGTTGCATTGTTATTTGTTATATATATATATCTATATGTCCTTTCCTGTTTTTTGCTCTTTTTGGCATAGACTAAGACATTGGTGATAAAAGTACCATAAAACTATTCTAAGCTTTTCTAAATGCCTGTATGTGTTAGCACCAATCATTTTTAGTCGGCAGTGGACTTGAGGTTTTACCCTATATAATCTTTGTACCTATATATATATATAAGTATACACTATATAACTCTATAACTATCTATCTATCTATATATATATATGTATATAAATAATCTATGTACCCATAGTTCCTATATAGGGTAAAACCTCAGATATTTGGACGTGCCTAATCTGGTCTCCCGTGTTGCATCGGTCTTGATCTCCCAGGAGGTTCCGCCAAGTTGGACTTGATGCTGGCCTTAGTCAGCTTCAGTTACGAGCCCAGAGGGGGATGCAGAAGAGACACCCTTGAGGTTAGAGCCGTAACACATCACTGGAGAAACAACTTCACATCAATGCGAATAATATATGTAGTATAATATATATATATAACATATTAGATATAATAATAATAATAACAATAATAATAATAAATATATATATATATTATAATATGTTTTATATATAATATAATATAATATCTATTATATTTAATATATATTACACATTGTATATTATATTATATTCTATATTATATATTATATATTGGATATTATATATCATATCTGGTATAATATATGTTATATATTATATACTATATATTATGGACGTTCGGATGTCGTGACGTTCGGATGTCGTTTGGCATGACAGGCACAAGGGATTCTGCACCTCAAAAGGTGATGACTTTGTAGCAGTTCCAAAAACGATAGCAGGCGTCGGATATTTGAAGAGGATCCGTAAAGATACATGTTCCGTGACAGGCGCAGTACAAGAGACATGATCATCAGAGATATTAGGAGGTCAGGGTTTTGATGTCCTGAGAGGGGTTGCATTTTGGAGCATCAGATCTGTAGGTTTGCTAAAGTGATGTTGCGTGACAGGAGCAGCACTTCGTTTGACCTCGCTTCATTTTTTCGTGGTAAGTACAGTACTTTAGACAGATGGAGTGGAAAAATCGCAAAACGCATTGGCACGAGGCCGTCAGCTCTGCACTCAATTTTCCACTATTGAAGGACTTCGTTTTTGATGTTGCCAACTTCGAAAATTGAGGAAGTCTCGCAGTTTTTTTTGTTTTTGACGTTATCAAGTTCAAAAGTTGAGGAAGTCTCGCAGAATTGCTTCGTTTTTCATGTTGCCACCTTCGAAAATAGAGGAAGTCTCGCAGAATAGCTTCCTTTTCAAGCTTGCAGATAGATAGATAGATAGATAGATAGATAGAACTACAAGTACACCTGCAACTGCAACTGAAACTACAATTACAAGCACAACACTACATTACACAACACAACGCAGCACAACACAACACTACGCTCCGCTCCGCTCCGCTCCGCTCCGCTACGCTACACTACACCACAAGTACAACCACACGACACTACACTACTTCACACGCACTACACTAGACTACACTACACTATACTACACTAGAGTACACAACACGACAGTACACTACACTACAGTACGCTACACTACATTACACTACACTACTTACAACTACAACTGCAACTGCAACTACACTAATTACACTACACCACTACAACTCCACTACACTACAACTACAACTGCACTACACCACACTACATCCAGCAGTTGTGTGTGAGGTGACCACTGCAACCATTGCAACCACTCCTAAAACACAACTCCAGCCACCTTTCGGTCCATCAGTGGATTCGCTCTGCCATCTGTGCTTCACAACAACCAACCTCTCTTATAGCTTTCCTATTTTTGAAACTTCCTCCACCGCCTTGTGCGGCACTACTGGCATATAGGATATTACATATTATATACAGTATACTATATATTACATATTTGATATTATATACACTATCTATTTTTTAATATCTTTTTCAAATATTGTATATTATATATTCTTCATTATATATATACACTTTATTTCGCATTGTGTTATATTTATATTGTATATTATATTTGTAGAACTTTTTACATATATGTATATATATATATTATTGTATTGTCTTATATACATGTATGTATTGGCACAGGAAATTTCGCGGTAACTGAACTTTGGCACAAACTTGCTCGCTTCAATTCCAAGGGCGTCTTCCCTTGGAATGGACCCGCGCTTGGCATCGTACTTTGGATGAGACGGGCAAGGATGACATGGGCCTTCATGTCATGCTGGAATGAGTTATCCGACTAGCCATCCCTCACTGGGAGCTGCATAACACCTGAATATACTTTATGGGTCAGACAAATCCTGATAGCCTGATAGCCCAAGCAGGAACCCGGGTTTTTGAACAAAAGTACGCATCATAGTTTTTCCAGTCCATCCTTCAGCAGCATGTAAGTTCTTGGCTATCTCCATTCTATGCTGCAACCTACAGCCACACGTAATTTCAATGCACTCCCTTGCAGGTCCAAAGGATGTGGAGGGTCGGATAGAGTTTGAGTCAAGAACGAAAAAACTGGACGCACATTGTAGAGAAAATGATTCCAGTCTCACCACAGCGCTTGGTAAAGCCTTGGGGCGATTGAAATTTGTGAGTAGAGTCAAACTAGCACATTAGATATACGTACAATAGATCTACTTGGAAAATTAAACTGTGAAAGTTTGCATGAACCAGTAGAGTTTGCTTTCTCCTTGAAGGCTTCTCTCTTGCTCCGCATCCTTTCGACTGCACTCCTTATTGAGGCTTGTTGCTGCACAGTCTGCCTTCCAAGCGCGTGGGCACTCAGCGAGTTTCGGGTGCTCACCATTTCCCACATTCTCTGCTGGCAACCAGCCATTCGAAAAGCCAAAGGATCCACAGGATCCAAAGGATCCACATGCTTGACATTGAAATCAATCTTTGAGCTTGGCATCCGGAGTGTGATCAGGCAATTTTTGGATATCGGATGATGCAACTAGAGTTTTAAACATGGACAGCAACTTGTTTGACATATGTCTAAAATGCATACCTCGCCGCTTAGGACGCACTGTGACCTTCGGACCTTTGGGCCACTGATGTAGTCCCAGACTATCTCTCAAGCTTATCCTTTTGGTCAAGGTATAGGCAGCACATAAAAGCCCCATATCCCCCACTTTGTTGCTACACTGCACCAGGCCCAACGTAACTTCGCTTGCTGGTCTTCCTATGGCACCTCAAATGGGCCAAAGTGGACCGATGTTGGGGGACCAAGTTTGACGAAGTCGGGAACTGCCATGGTCCATGGTCTAAGCATATCTAACAATTGTCTAACCAGATGGTTCTTTTTTTTTGCCCAATGGATTCAATTTGAGGAAAACCATCAATGAGTATAATGTTATATATGATACGGGTTCACCCTCCTGTCCTGGGATTAGAATAGAGCCAATGTCATATTATGACATACCCCTAACCAGTGAGATTACTGTTTTGCCAAGTACTGTAGAATCTCCTCTTTTTAGGAATTTTGACAAGGGTGGGAACATGCAGGATTTTTCGCCAGAGCTTTCCTATTAATTGAAGCTAAGATGACCCGTAGATTTGGTGAAACAAAGGCAACGCACACACAACGCAGTGGATCGAATTAAAAGGTACAGGTGCTAGGGGTTTGGGAATAATTCCTGGATTTGAGTGGAGCTGGAACACTTTAGGCATACGGACACAGAGCACTGGTCTCATGAAGATGGCTTTGAAGAAGATGAAGGGAAGCAGACAGGTTTTTGAAACTTGAAGGCTCTTTTGTTGAAAGAGAAGTGAAGGTCTTTGCAGTGAATTTGCAGTGTTTTTTCGTGGTTATGTAGGTCAATTGCAGGGTGTTTTGCAATTTTATGTGGCAGTGTGAATTACTGCGTATTCTGAATAAAATGCGCCCCAAAAAATGTCTCTTTCGCGAGCCCTCGTGCCCGAAACCACAGGGCCAGCACGTTTTGCCGGTGACGTTCAGATCTTTTCAAAGTAGACTATTTTTTTTTTTAAACAGGCAATCCAACAACATTTGCTTCCCAGCACCATTGCCATGTGCGAACATATCTCCAAATCAAGTCATTCAAATTCAATCTGTTTTCTTTGTGCAAGTGCAAGATAACCTTTAATAGCGTAGCGTCATGTATGTGTGCAAGTGCAAGAGAACCTACAGCAGCGTAGCGTGACGCATGTGTGCAAGTGCAAGAAAAGCTACAGTAGCGTAGCCTGGCACATGCGTGCAAGTGCAAGAGAACCTACAGTAGCGTAGCCTGACACATGTGTGCAAGTGCAAGAGAAGCTACAGTAGCGTAGCGTGACGCATGTGTGCAAGTGCAAGAGAACCTACAGTAGCGTAGCGTGACGCATGTGTGCAAGTGCAAGAGAACCTGCAGTAGCGTAATTAGCGTGATGCATGTGTGCAAGTGCAAGAGACGCTACAGTAGCGTAGCGTGGCACATGTGTGCAAGTGCAAGAGAACCTACAGCAGCGTAGCCTGACACATGTGTGCAAGTGCAAGAAAAGCTACAGTAGCGTAGCCTGGCACATGCGTGCAAGTGCAAGAGAACCTACAGTAGCGTAGCCTGACACATGTGTGCAAGTGCAAGAGACGCTACAGTAGCGTAGCGTGGCACATGTGTGCAAGTGCAAGAGAACCTACAGCAGCGTAGCGTGACGCATGTGTGCAAGTGCAAGAAAAGCTACAGTAGCGTAGCCTGGCACATGCGTGCAAGTGCAAGAGAACCTACAGTAGCGTAGCCTGACACATGTGTGCAAGTGCAAGAGAAGCTACAGTAGCGTAGCGTGACGCATGTGTGCAAGTGCAAGAGAACCTACAGTAGCGTAGCGTGACGCATGTGTGCAAGTGCAAGAGAACCTGCAGTAGCGTAATTAGCGTGATGCATGTGTGCAAGTGCAAGAGACGCTACAGTAGCGTAGCGTGGCACATGTGTGCAAGTGCAAGAGAACCTACAGCAGCGTAGCGTGACGCATGTGTGCAAGTGCAAGAAAAGCTACAGTAGCGTAGCGTGACGCATGTGTGCAAGTGCAAGAGAACCCACAGTAGCGTAGCGTGACGCATGTGTGCAAGTGCAAGAGAACCTGCAGTAGCGTAATTAGCGTGATGCATGTGTGCAAGTGCAAGAGAAGCTACAGTAGCGTAGCATGACACATGCGTGCAAGTGCAAGAGAAGCTACAGTAGCGTAGCATGACACATGCGTGCAAGTGCAAGAGAACCTACAGTAGCGTAGCGTGACACATGCGTGCAAGTGCAAGAGAACCTACAGTGGCGTAGCGTGATGTATGTGCTCAGGTGCAAATGAACGTTATTACCCCACCCCACCCCACCTCACCCTACCTCAACAAAAAACGCACAAAACGTACGTTCGGTTTTCAACCCGTAGGCTCAAGCATGCAAATGCAGCTATGCCGTAGTGCACAGCTAAAGGAATCAACATGCACCATCATGTTCTCTGCCAAGGTAGTGTAGTGTAGTCACATGGTGAAATTATTTGGAGGGTCTGGAGCGATGTCTAAGAGCACAGAAAGACAGGAGAACTTGATATCAACAAACAATTCCTTCAAAATTCGCTAAGATGATACTAAGATGTGTAATATGTTTTTTCACTGTGAATTATGCGAAGTACCTCAAAGTCTACTCCGAAACCTTGCCCCAATTGTTTTTGGAATTTGCCACTGTGCAATGAAATGATCAAAGCTAGTCACAACAAAGCACGGGGAAGCATTTCACAAAATTAGAAGGTCAAGAGTCATAATATTGTAATTTGGAAAACAACAGAAACTATGTGTAAGTACTGTATAAGTACTGTATAAGTACTGTATAAGTACTGTATAAGTACAGTAGTAGCAAAGTAAACTGCACAGAGCTGACCGCCAAGGCCAGCTGGCGACTTGGAGACCATGTTGACAGAGGCCGTGTGGATGTTAGATGCAAGGGCTGCAAAGATCATAGGGTGACAATGCTGAGGTGAGTGGTGTGAAATCCATAAACGGACTATATTTGGGCACCATTTGGACACAATTCTATGGTTTTAGATGCGCACACACATACTCTAGTTCAATTGCAACAGCCTTCCAACTGCCCGGGTCTTGTCTAGAACTTGCTGAAGCAACGCCACCACTTGCAGCAAAAACCTCAGATGTGCTCTGAGAAATGTGACAATATACGTACATATATAATTACTGTAATATAAAATATATATATATATATGTATATACACGCATATACACACATATATATATATATGAACAGGATTGAGTTGCGAAGACTCCCATACTTTCCAACAAGAAGCTTCTGAGCTTTTCATGAGCCACAAGTGAGATTTATTTCATCAGAAGTTCCACAAATCTCAGCCGTTTCTCGGGCGTCCAAGGCAACTTCAGCTGCACCAGGTGCACCAACAACAGATGCAGTTGGAGACCGAGACACAAACGACACAAACTTCATGCTGGCGTCAGTTTTCGCAGACGCATTGATGCAGAGAATTTGTGCCATGATGTAGAATTGCTGGCACGTAGTATTCCGACATTGTTTGAGTTTGCGGGCTTGTAACACCCAAAAGCTGCAGAGAAACTATTGAAGTAGCTCATGACCCTTGGTTGTTTGCGTTATTTCTACGGTTGTGGTATTTTCTACATTCCGATGTTCTCAGATTTTAACAGAGGAATCGGACATGCCACGTTCCTGGTCAAGCATTTGCATGACTATATAGATCTATATAGCAAGGTCCCATCGAATTTTAAGGCCCTGTGTCTGGGTCCGTGATAGATGGTGGAAAAATCCCTCCGTGAACGAAAATTCATTCCATCCTGAATGGTTTGTCTGACCAGATTCGGATTTCCTTTCAGTGTATCATTGGATCCTGAGGGAAAGGTCCATCAGACTTCCCCTGTTGAGGCTGCAGCAGTTGATGCAAGCTCAGCAGCAGCCGCCACAGCTGCAACAGCTTGGCGCAGCCCAAGCGCAGCTACTGATGCAGCAGCCAGCCATGCAGTCCATGCTGGGAGCCATAGAAAGGTTGGACCGGAGAGTACCGCCATTGGGCCATCTGAAGTCACGTATGACATGAATTAGTCCAGCGTTTTGCTACAACAAAAACCATGCAATCCCAAGAGTGTATCGCACATGTGAATACATTTGATATTTTTTTTGCCAGATTTCTCTATGGCAGATATCTTGGTCTTTTGGTGTCGTTCTTGGATAACGGACAGACTTAGAGATCCCCGTCTGGTCCTAGCTGCTGAGATTCTTGGGCTCCAGCCCCATTTTTAGCAATTTTCTGGGTATCTCTGACTCAGTCCCAAAATTTAGCCCTTAGGTATCTTGGATGTTGTTGCAAGAATTTCATCTCAAGGATGTTGAGACATTTTGATGTTTAAATTGGCAATTTATACCAGGTCCAGCCCGAAGAATTTTATCCATAGGTATTTTGGGCATCAAAATGAGGCAAAATCAAGATAGATCGAGCCATGAACAGGATAACCAAAAAAATATACAAACCACCAAAACAAAACCAACAAAAAAATGTTGGCATGATGATCATGATAATTTTGACGATGCTTGCAAGACAATGCCAACAATGCCATTACAATGACGAGCTCACGCGCCGACACACCAACATGTCATGGCCACGTTAAGCCGAAGAAATTCAGCCAGCCCACCTTCCTTAGATTCACCTTTAGTTTCTGTTTAAGTTTTGATATGTCAATATACCGGCCCTTTTGAATTTCAAACCACGTATGCAAATCTAGTGTCGAACAAAATGTTACATTCAGAAGGTAAGCTTAAACCAAAGGACAGTTTAACCAAAAGAAAAACTATATAGCACATGTTTTCGCCTGTTCTGTCAACGAAAAACATGAATTAGCATGCCGAACTTTTGAAAGTTTAACGGTGTATGCAAAAAACTCGTTGCCGAATCCGGCGCCACGGTTCCGGGATAAATTTCTTGAAATTGAGGTGTAATTTGAGGAACGTGGGCTGGCTGAATTTCTTCGGCTTAACATGTCCATGCCATGGTGGTGTGTTTGTGCGTGAGCTGGCCAGGTGGCTCTCATTGGGGGAGGATGCTTTCAGAGGGTTTGAAGGGAACAGAATAGCTATCAGTTCTTGAACAAGAAACTAGAATTCAACAATCATGTGTTCACAACGTTCAAAAAATGGCAAACGAAATGCAGAAACCATTTGAACCGCTGCAGTCCCAGAGCAGCCCTGGCATGCTCAGCTCAGCAGATTTACGCCACAAAACGAAAATTATATATAATTATGTAAAAAATCATATGTATGTATCTTTTTGTATATAGTAAAGTGTTTATGTTGTTTTTTGTTTCAGCTCGTGGAACTGCAAATTCATTGGCTCCATAGACCTTGTAACCCTGAGTTTTATCATCTGGGATTTGGCGATGTTGGACGTTTAAATTGATATTTTTTTAGGCTTGAGCCTGAGTTTTAGCCTTCACCTGGGGGGGATACTGGATGTATGTTTTTGATATGTTTTGATGATCTTGGATGTCAGTCCAGGAATCTTAACCTGATGAAACTGGGGTCTAACCCTGAGGGCCACCCCAGACGGGGATCTTAGAGCCATGTAGTCGCCTTTTTGCTGAGGTCACCAATTGGGCAAGCGCCTCGTGGAGGGTCATGAGCCCAATGATGTCCTGCGAAAAAATGAACGGTTTTGGAGGTTTTCTTGGGACAAAGTATGCCAATATATGCCACGCATCTATGTCCAATATACATGACATATACATGACAGCGTTTGACAGAATCTCTGCCAGTTTTGAACGTTTGAATTTCAATTTGATACGGTGCTCAACTGAGGCGTGGTCAGGAACGACCAAATCATCGTGACACACGTGGAAAGGACGCCGGACTTTGGGGGATTTTCCAGTTCGTGTTCCCACAGATGTGGCGGATGTGGATCCAGAACTTCTTTGCAATGTAAATGTCTTGAAATATAACACATGGAGGATTTTCTTGGGACATCAACACATCTAGGATTTTCGAAAACCTAGATAATCCTAGCCTAGATATCTAGCTTTAGGGTGGAGTTGTTTTTATCAGAAGTTGTGTCCTTTCGCAAATCCCAAGTCACACGGCCGCTCTGATGAATTTGGTGCCAAGTCTCCAGCTGGTTCACACATTCCTCATCTTTTTCGCGATGTCTCGAGACATCTCTATCTATCAGAATATATTGAATATATATTGAATATATATATATATATAATTATATATATATATGAATATATATTAATATATATATATATGAATATATATATATATGAATATATCATATAATACTGTGTAGTGTTAATATTATATATACTGTATACCCACTGTACATTGTCCAATAATTTATGATACTGTGATATATCTGCACATCATCCATACAACCTATGCCATCCTATGCCTAAAACAACATCTACGATCAGGTTCCCCAGGTTCCAACGGCTGCAGCTCGCTGACGTGCCCAGGAGAAGTCGTCACCCTCAAAACGGTGTGGTTCTCACAGTTTTATGGATGTTGTAGATCTAGCCTGGGCAGACTTGAAGACTAAGTCTGCTGACTTAGTCAGGGGTGCTCCATGCAAATCTGCAGATTTGTTGCCTCTGCGGACTTGCGTCAAGATACAGTTTGCTGATGTTTGCTGCACTTGTGAAATCATCGTTTCAGTTTCAATCAACTCTCTCGTGAAATCCTGCGCATTCGTGGCATGTTCCAGGCAGAAGGAGAAGCAAACAACCGTCATGTTGCGGAATTTGCCTGTAGGGTGCCCCTCATAGGGATGTCACCGTGTCACCCGTTGGATGTGATTGCAGAAGAATGCGAAGAATGCGGATGTCACCCGTTTGATGTCACCATATGTCACCTGTTCATAGCCGCTGAAACATAGTAAAGCATTAGTCTAAAATTTTGTTGACCACCTCAGTGTGAGGAATCGAGGAACTCTTATTATCTCTTGGTAGATTCGCCTATATAAATCTCCACTGTGTCCCGGCTCCGTTCTTTTTTGAACATGACATGCTGATGTCATCATCATACCCTTTCAAGATTCAGTATCACAGAAAAACGAGGTACATAGCCCATTAATTATAACTCTTTGTCTCAGCAAGTTGTGCCCTTGTCCATCCATTCCCATTCCCAGTGAATGCTATGAGTGTTCCTGGCGTGGAGGTATTCGCGGGACATGCTGGTGGCGTTGATGAACCGCTACGGTTTTGAAGCAAGTGCGAACCCTATTTTGTCAATGTAATTCAGCCCCTCAACTACAACGTTCCCAACATCCCAACAGCTGAGAGCAGCAAAGCACATTTGTCCAAAAAATGGAAAAGGAACACCATCCTCTCTCGCACTTTTGCTCTACAGACATTTCAACCACTTGTGAATTTGTTCGTGTTACACAGTGGGAAGCTTGATTGTTCTGAGGCTTCGACTTTGTCTACATACCCATCAACTTCCGCACACAGGTCCGGGTAACATCGACTGTACGCCCATGTCCAATGTTTTTTTATTTCAGGCCGCGAAAATCGACTTGGTCCCAGGAGGAGAGGTCATGTTTGATCATCCCCTTGAACTTATGAGGTTTTCCCCTATCATCCCCTATCACAGCTAGCAAGAATGAAACCCAACCACCCCATTGGGGAAACAAACGCGTTTATTGCAGCACAGGAATATCCACTGCTTGATTTGACAGGGCTCGGTAGATGCGGTCTCTCTTTTTCTGATTTAAACATCCCTTTCAAATGCCTGTTGGAGACCACTTTTGTAATGAGTGGGCGATTTTGAAGCATGACACACACACACACACATAACCAGTCCTGAGCAGGCGATGTTTGGCTACGCCTTCGTGAACTTTGTGGATGAGCTGAAAGCTCTACGTGCGCGTCGAATTTTTGAAGGCTTGGTCTCCGAAAGCGCTGTGAGGATGGCAGTGGTTCACTGTCACTTGTGGTTTGCAGCTTTGCAAAAGTCAAGAAAGATACCCTCTGGTAAACATACAAAAATCTATGGAATTTCACCATTTCTCAATGGGTAAATCAACTATTTCTATGGGCCATTTTCAATAGCTATGTTAGTCATTACCAGGGGGTAACAAAAACATCAAAAACTATCCAAACCTAGAGGTCTCAAGGGACTGCAGCTCCGTATGAGTTGGACAAGTTGGACCCGGGACCTGCGATCGCCGTACGCCGTAGGCTTCACAGAATGGGGAGTTGAGACTGACAAGGTCTGTGAGGTCTCCTGGAGCGATATGCATCAGGTGCAGCGAAAGAAAGAGATCTCCGTGCCAACGTTTCTGCAACCAATCAATTGGTATAACTTGACTAACTTGACATATTTGGACACATTTGGACACATGGTATACTGTAATATGCTGTGTCTGTATATTATATATATATATTATATTATCGATGTACATAATATATAACATGCATATACATGCATACATATGCAAATACATGTGTATACACTATTATAATCTATTATATGCTATATGCTATACATATGCTATATATATATATATACAAGTTATATAGACAACACTGGTTGCATGACACAGCAACTTTTCGTTGTGCACAACCGGATTCCTGCGAAAACTGGGTGGTGTTTCGCAGCAGAGAGAAGTTTCCCTGATGAAAAGAACATATAAGCAACATGGGTCTATAACAATATATTATAGTGATATGTATACACACACACAATATATATATATAATATATATATATAATATATATATATGGTCCACCACCCCCCCCATGGGTTGGGTCCCCAGGTAGCACCCCCTTTTCCCTTCTATTTGCAAGCTATTGGCAGCATTTCTGAGGTCCAGCCTCGTATTTGCTAGGTCTTTGCAGCATTTCTGACTACCAGCCTCGCATTTACTAGGTACATGCTACCTTTTAGGTGACCTACGTAGCACACATACTCCCTCAAAGTACCTACGTGCCACTTATAGTCATATAATTATACATGAGCTATGTATCTACTTCCTATTTACTACCAGTGTACTCTCACAACACTACATGTGTTGAACATATGCCGTACCTACCATACATTCCAATGATGCCATGCGTACCATACCTATGATACCTATCATACATACCACACATACCATACATACCATACATATGAAACATAATTACCACACCTACCATACATACAATACCAAACATACATGCGATACATACCATACATACCTTACATAGGAAACATTCCATACCCATCATAGTAACCATACATACCATACCTATCATACCTATCATACAGACCACACATACCATACATATGAAACACAATTACCACACCTACCATGCATACAATACCAAACATACATGCCATACATACCATACCTACCTTACATAGGAAACATTCCATACCCATCATAGTAATCATACTAACCATACATACCATACATACTGTCATATCAAACATACCATACCCAACAGACTTACATACCATACTTACCATCCATACAATAACAACCATTCATGCCATACATAGCATACCTACCATACATACCAAACATACCATACTTTCCAGACATGCCATACCAGACCGACCATACACACCATACATACCCAACATACCATACCACACCCCCACCACACCACAGGGGGGGAGGGGGACAGTACCACACCCCCACCACACCACAAGGGGGGAGGGACAGTACCACACCCCCACCACACCACAGGGGGCGGAGAGGGACAGTACCACACCCCCACCAGACCACAGGGGGGGAGGGGGAAGATCTCATATGGGGGCAGTATATGGGACCCATCCCATGGGGGGGGAGGGGGGGGTGGCAGGGCCTGGTGCATATATATATATATAATTCTTATGTACATGCACAGTTTCGCTTTGTTTCGATATTTTTGGTATCGCGACTTGTCTCCCGACTTGACAGGGTTTGTTGGCGCATGTCAACCGCTACCGAAGCAGCAAGGGCCTGAGAAGCATCCGCAGTATCCGGCGATTTCGGCAGATCTCCAGTGACATTTTGTGATTTGTTAAATGACATTAAGGCGACAAGAGACTGAATGTGAAATATGTGAATGAGATGTGAATGAGATGTGAATGAGAAAATATGAGAAAATATGAGAAAATATGAGAAAATATGAGAACATATGAGAACATATGAGAAAATATGAGAAACACGGTGAATGGAATTGCCAGAATCGATGGACTGACATGCTGAGAGGTCCGGTGATGCATGAGTCAGTTCCAGATGAGTACAAGCCCGCAGTGTAACTTGGCACATTCAAATTTCATGTCCATGAGACTTGCTCGAAGCAATTGGCGGCGCGGGTCACAGCTTTGCCTTTAATCTACCATCTGGTTATGACTAATATAGCCATGGAAGCCATGGCCCATAGAAATAGATGTTTTACCTACTATAAAATGGTGATTTTCCATGGCTATGTTAAATAACCAGAGGAAAATCACCAGGGAGCAGACCTACTTTCACAGGTAGCAGTAGCATTTTTTTTGTGTGCACACGGATCTTCTCTACACGCAGGTATTCTCAAGGACAGCGCGTAGCTTGGCCTGCAAGCGGAGCACACATGACAAAAGAAAGTAAAACGGTTTGAAGATGTTTGAAGCATATCAGCATACATGTGTATACATGAATAAATATATATATACTTATACAATTCTTCGGCAGAATTTGGTCAGAGCATTCCAGCAGTGGTAGGTTTTCATGACTTTTCAATACTTTTCATGGGTCATGTCCTAAAATGTCCCACCTTTTTTCATGATCATTTTTTTTCCCAAACTCGAACGTGAGATGTCCAGCCTTTCCGCCCAACCACCGTCCAACCAAGGTCGCCTTCCCAGCACCAACCAAGCGAATCCGTGTGCCACGCATCCGTCGAGCGCCTGAAGGCCGTCACCGGATTTGAGTGGTCCAATAGGGAAGCCATGGCCCAGGTTTGAGGTGGCACCTGGCAGATGAGTCTTGATGAGCCGCAGCTACCGGTATCAGATTTGCGTTGTGAGAAGCATGCAGCTTGAAGGTGTTCGATTTTGTAAGAGTTCTTCCCATCAGCAGCCATCAACCAGATGCAAGACCAGCTCAAATGTTCACAGCTGTGTGGGTTGGATGCAGAAGGGTCCACAGTCTCCTTGTGAGGCGGAGAAGATGATGCAGGACCGGGCTGCTGAATTTTCGTGACTTTTGGGGCATCTGGGTCCAGAGAGCTTATGGCTCTCGTGCATGTTAGAGGCTTTCAGAAGGCATGGGCTTTGGGACATCGAATCGATTCTCCCTGACTCGATATGCGTCCCAGCGAGGAGAGGATGACTATGGCTTGGACGGTGATATCTAAGTGCTCTAAGTGTCTTGGAATTCCAAGTAGACACCCAAATTGCTGGCAATAACCAATAACTACTGCCTTCGTGCTTGACAAGAGCTGCAATGGGGGACGTTAAATGGTTCGGATACTAGTGGTTCTAAATCTATTTTCTACTTGCTGCTGTCCGCTGCTAAGGTAGTTCCAACTTCAAAGGCACTCCCCTGTCTGTTGGACGGGGTCAAAACATACTGAGCATGATTTATCCAAAAGGGTCGCACAAATGTGGAGGTATCCCTGGAGACATTGTTCCTCCCCCTTAAGCAGTATATTAATTCTATTGCCTCGCATTCTCCACTTCTCCTCTCTTCGTATCATGGCATGGATTACAATGAAATGCGACGGGGCCAGCTTAACCGCAGATTGCTTGCAGGATCTTTCTACATAATATCCGTACATGAGGTTCTCCACACCTGTTTGAGATCCAAAGTCCAAGCTCTGTTTGTTTTGCTTTGAGTTCCAATCCACATCCCTTTTGATATCTGTTGATAGAGGTCATGATTTGCGTGGGGTCTCGTTCAAATCATAATGAATTTCATTCATCTTCTATACAGGACCTTCACTTCCGCACATTGCCACTCTTATGTTTCTCAATTGCAGTAGTGCCACTCCAAACATGCAGATATAGTACGATTGCATGCCAGGACACATGAGCCACATTATGCAAGTAGATCTAGGAAAGTTTGAGCGAAATGATGTCTATAATGTGTTTTTTTTGGCAATTTGTCCCATTATTCCCATTCCCGTGTAGCAACGTGTAGCAACGTGTAGCAACGACATGGATGCCATGTGATGGATCTCGCGGCAGAGTCTCCTCAGATCTCCACAGCAGCCCTAGCGATACATACGACAATCTCAATCGATCAATTCAGCTATCGATGTCGAGAGCTGCCTCGTGGGCAGGAGTTTTTTTTTTGTATCTCATATGGCTATGAATAAATACCTATGAAAATACCATTTTTAGAGGGATGAACATCCATAAATCCCAGCTATTTTTATGTGAACTACAGGGGTACAAGGTTTTGACCCACTGCCATATATCTCATACTGACTATGGCATGCTATGGATCAATTCGAAGGGGTCATGGACATTCATGGACCATGATGGACTCACAATTGATTATATTCATGATGGTCCCATGATTAGTCCCCAATTATGGGACGATGATATCAATTATGGGACAATGATGATATTCATTATGGCCTATAATTTGGTCCATTATGTCCCAAATTATGATATTTATGATGGGATTTTTCAGGTCCCCAAATCGTTTTTTTTTTTAAAGCATTTTTGGCCGACATGTCTACCTCGGTGATTCGGTGATGTCATTTCCAGAGATTCCATGGACAGTGGACCTTTTGAACAATGACCAGGAAAACTAGAGATTCTCAAAGGACTTGGGGATGGGTCAAAACCCTGGTACCTAGTGAACCCCAAAATAGCTGGTAAATGGATGTTCATCCCACTAAAAATGTATCTATAGGTATTGACCCATCCCCATTTCTGCCCAGCGCCGGAATTCAGAACTTACTAATTTGGGTTTGAATTTGAGTAGACTTGGTGTTGCTGAGATCGAATGTGTCGAGCATGATTTGACACTTTCTCTATATGATTTATACACAGTTATGTATTTTGGCAGACCTTTGTCCTGTCAGCAAGGCAGTATCCGCATCCTGATTTTCCCTAAACCCTTGTTAAGGAAAGGCTGCAAAAGCAGCCTTGATTCCTGGCGAGGAGGAAAGCGCACACCGGTTCAACGAATTCAGCGGCACCCTACGAAGTGCCCATTTTGGTCGGGACAAACATGGTAAATACATGGCCTATTTTGACTTTGGACAATACCCTCTGGTAAATTTTTTCGTAGACCCTGGCAGATGTTGGGGTTGGAAGACTAGTTTCCATTAAAAAATGGTGATTTTCAGGGTCAAACTGTTAATTTACCAGAGTGTAGTCAGCAATATTCAACAAGAAAAATGAGAGAAAAACTTGAGCATGAGAGACAACAGAACCGGAATCACTCGACAACTTTTGGGGAGGAATTTCTCACTGCTGGCATGAGGGAAGCGTCATTTAAGGCACAGGACAAGCTGGCACAATTGTTTTACCACCTTTATGACAGGCAAGTGCTACTAGTTTTTGATGGTTTGCCAAACCAACTGGCCCGTCGATTGTGAAACACAAAAGACGCTGCAGGTCATTTCACTGCAATTAATCATGCCCAAATCCCAATCACTTCTTTGTTGCTATATTATCACGTTTGCCTTTCTAGTGTTTTGCGGTCGCAGATGTCGAAGTCAGACTAGAAGGGGATTGTTTGCGATCCCTGCAACAGCTTGGTCTCAGAGAATTGCAAGCGGCTACTCCAGTGAAATGTTCAACATCATTCTGCGTAATGAGCTGACAGGCTGAGATACTGTCAGACATTCCGACATTGGAAGCACAACAAGAGTTTCCACCTCTACAAGCAGATCTCTGTCAAATCCACTACTATTTGCGAAAATTACAGACCGACTCTAGACGGGAAGAGAGGAGCATGCCTGACAGTAAACATGTTCTACGCAGCTCTACTCAACCTCTTCTCGAACATTTTAGCAAAGTCTTATAAACTTCTTAACTCCGAAAAAGTCTTGGCCGACAGACTGCAACCCATGCCAGCGGGAGTTGAGAATCCCATATAGATGTACCAAGAGCGGTGATCCACCAAGCTGTGTGGCGAGCCGTGGAACCCACATGAACCCACTGCCATCACCAGGCCATGTAGAAAATGCAGCAACGTCTTGCCATGGATCCATTGTTACGCTGACCCAGCCATCAGACAGGGCTGCTATAGTTTTGAGGTCATTACACGTCAATTAATCACCACATTCTTACCTTTTGATACAGGACGACTCCTTAATCAACCTATCTGCGTTGAATGGTGGTGGACAATGTTATACAATGTTATACAAGTATTTGAAGATATTTGAAGTATATTTTAAGTATAATTGAAGTACATACAAGATTATAGAAGTATTTGGTCATAGTATTTGGTCATCTTTGGTTTACGGGTTTCGCTTGGGACGGTCCATTCCCATTATGCTGGGGCCGTTCCCAAAGTCATCCAAAGTATTCCAAAGTCCTTAAACACGACATTGGTAATTCATTGGTCAAGGGAACGTTGGCAGAAGCATTGCGCCCACAGGGCCAGTTTTGGAAAATTTGACGTCCTCGTACAGAATCAGGAAACGGCATCCTTGACCACTGCTAACCATATCCGACAGCAGAGCGGAGGTATCCCACATAGGAATGGCTACTATGGCTACAGCTGCATTTGTCTTTTTTGCGGTGAGTGGCGGTGAGCGGACCGAATCTCAGTCCCTGAGAGCCGCTCAGGGTCTGTATCAAGATCTGGTGATCCGCAGCTGCCGCATAGAATCATCCGCCATCTCAGATGCTCGACAGCTTAGCTACCGAGTTCTTTGGCGCTACGAAAATGCTGTGCGCGTTGAGTCATTGGGAATTCCAACTTCATGCTTTTTTGTGAATTTCATTATATTTCATTGAATTTCTAGATTGAGTTGGTTTGAGTTGTAACGCACAACATTCAAATCGTTCAGGTGAGGGCACTGAAGACCAATGGAGCCCTTTCCTCACGATTCCACTATTGGGTTGCCTGGACGAGAACGACAAAGCCAAAGTTTGTTACCATAGTTTCTTGCCATTGGAATCGTTGGACGTAATTTATGTTCTATCCGACATGCTCTTAGATTCTGGATCGCATTTTGACAGTTTTTCCAAGTTTTTTTTTCGCTCCATATCATCAACCATAAGTCCAAACTGAGAAGCGGAGTACCTGTCTTTCGAATTCTGCTCTTCGGGCTCCAGAATTTGGCAGGGCAAGATGCCCTGGTGAAAAGGCCCTGGTCAAATCGGCCAGGGACAGCAGAACTAGAATGATTCATATGTATGATACATATGTATGATACATATCATTTCGCTCAGATGCTATGCAATCGTTTTGCATCTTTGGTGCCCATCTCTTTCCAGTACATTTTGACAAAATTGACTTGAGATTGGCCAGAAAAGTATCGTAAGTCGATCTTGAGAACACATCCTTCCCACAGTCACCAGATATAAATTGCCAGAAGTCGGTGTACCTGTGACATCCTGTGACAAAAGTTCCATCAACGGCATCACAATTTGAGTCATGGCAAGTTGCCTCCGATGTTGACTCCGATGTTGCGCTTGGCTGACCATGAGGCTGAGCATGGGGAGAATTGTCTCACGATGGGAAGTTGAAAGTAATCCAGCTGTCCAGATGGAATATGCACATGACATACATTGACTGCCTGCTGAGACCAATCCATACGTTGTACTGTAAATTGTTGCAACCTGGAATGAGAAGCTTATCGCACTCTCACAGTCTCTGAATTGGGTTGGAATCTGTCAACATGGTTTGGCTCAAGATGTTTTCCTGAGATTTGACTGAAGGACTCTTCTTGGCAGATGATTCCAGTACAGGTAGCTTTGCCGAGTGGTCGCAGCACAGTGGTTTCAATTGAAAAGTCCTCCAGTGTAAAAGAGTTGAAAAATCTGACCCAGAAGTCTTTTCGACAAGGCTTCCTGCAGCTTGTCACGGCAGAAGGACGTCATTTGACAGATCTGACTGAGCCTTTTGAAGCAGCTGGGATCAAAGAGGAAGACGATCTAACAGCTATCGCACTTCAACCACAGCTGCAGGCAACATCAAGCGCCTTTGCCTTGTGGTGCGCTGGAGGTGACAGGATTGTCACCTGGGGCGCTCAGAAGTATGGAGGTGACAGGTCTGCTGTCCAACATCAGCTCAGGGGTGTCCAGCAGGTGCGGGGCACTTTTGCTGCATTTGCCGCCCTCCTGACAGATGGTTCGGTCATTACATGGGGCGATGCCACTTCTGGTGGTGACAGCTCCGAAGTCCAACATCAATTGAGGAATGTGCAGCAGCTTGAGGCCAGTAGGAGTGCGTTTGCTGCGATTCTTGCAGATAGAAGCGTTGTGACGTGGGGCGCCGGATGCACTGGGGGTGACAGTTCTGCGGTGCAAGATCAGCTAAAGAGAGTGCAGCAGATTCAAGCCACAGTTAGTTCTGATGCATTCGCTGCAATCCTTGCAGATGGATCTGTGGTCACATGGGGTGCTCCCACTTATGGTGGTGACAGCTCCAAAGTTCAACATCAGCTGAGGAACGTGCAGCATATTAAGGCCGCATATCCTGGATTTGCTGCGATACTTGAAGATGG